TAATTTTTTGTATTTTTAGTAGAGATGGTTCCACCATGTTGTCCAGGCTAGTCTCAAAATTCCTAACCTCAGGTAATCTGCCTACCTCGGCCTCCCAGAGTGCTAGGATTACAGGCATGACCCATCATGCTGGCCTGAAATTATTTCTAAATCATCATTTTCTATTTTTTATTCCCTGTGTTTTCTTTCCCTTTTTCTCTTCCTTTCCTATCTTCAATTGAATTTCTTTTCTGCTTTCTTTTTGTTTTTGTTAATCTTCTTTTTATCCCCTGATAATCTGGGAGCTATAGACTGTATCTGTATCTTTCATTACACCTATTTATATTTTTTTCATCAAACTCTAAGATTTATGCCTCTTTCCTGAGGGGCACAAATAAGAAACAGCAGAGTATGCTTTATCTACTGAACATTTTTTCCTTTCCATTGTCCTTACTACTTTTGTTTTTAACTTTAGTTTAAGCCTCCTTTTAAACAACCAAAAAGCCCACTTTTTTTTTTACAGTCAGTAATTAAATTTATCAACATACTTTACCTATTTCTTGTCACTTTCTAATAAAATCTTTTCTGGTTTTTCTTTTCCTTGAAGTATATCCTTCAGTAATTCCTTCAGAAAGAGCCCAAGTGGGACACTCCCTTCATTTCTTATGTCTGAAAGCAGTATTGTCTTTCACTTTCCTAGGTATAGATTTTTAGGTTGAGAGTTATTTTCCTTCTTTCTTTTTTTAAACACCTTAAAGATATAGTCCCACTGTCTTTAACAACTATCATGGATAAGGAGAAATCTGTTCTCAGCCTAGTTCTCATTAGATCATAGATTATCTTATATTTATCCTCAGATAGCTTTTTAAATTTTTTTTAATTTTTAAACTCTTTTATTTCTGATGATTCACTTCAACATGTCTAGAAGTACTGTTTTGTTTTTAAAACACTTTCAGCAGCATGGTCTGTGCTTTCTTTAATTCTGAAATATTCTCAGCTAAGACTTCTTTGGGTATTTGTTCATAGAATGCCTTCTATGGCCAAGTAGCAGGACAAGAGCTTAGTCTATTATTTCCTTTTAGAAAGACTTTGAGATAAATGCTGGGGCCTCCCCATCTATTATCCACATTTTTTTTTTTTTCACACACTTCATCTCTTGATCTGTGCTGTGTTCTGGAGGAACTCCTTGGGACTATCTTCCAATTCATAAATTCACACTTTTTTTTTTTTTTTTGAGTTGGAGTTTCGCTCTTGTTGCCCAGGCTGGAGTGCAGTGACGCAATCTCAGCTCACCACAACCTCCACCTCTGGGTTCAAGCAATTCTCCTGCCTCAGCTTCCTGAGTAGCAGGGACTCCAGGTGCACGCCACCATGCCCAGCTAATTTTTGTATTTTTAGTAGAGACGGGGTTTCACCATGTTGACCAGGATGGTCTTGTTCTCTTGACCTTGTGATCCGCCTGCCTCGACCTCCCAAAGTGCTGGGATTACAGGTGTAAGCCACTCTGCCTGGCATGTTTTCCTTTTATAACCATGAGTTCTTGATTCATTTCTCTGCATCACCATTTATTAACCTTTTTATGGATGCTATTCATTATTTATCTCATTAAGATTTTAAATATATTTAAGTGATTTTGAAAGTGGACCACTATTTGAATTTCATCAGCAGTAAATTCAGCTCCCATTTGTTGGAGATTTTTGAATGTCTTTCTGGCACCTCCTCTCTTCTACACTCAGTGCAAGCCACCTTGGTTCAGTCCCCATCATGGCTGTTACTTAGCACAGCTCTAGGGGCATCTGCATCACGCAGTCTGGTGGTCTAGGTCATCACCTGTGATAATCACTGGCTCATCACAGCAGCCTCCTGACTCACCTTCCTGCTTCTGGCCTTGCCTTTCCTCTAAGCCAGTCTTCTTTTTCTAGTCAGAATGATCACTGTGCTGTGTAAATCTGATCATGACATTCTCCCTTCAGTACCTCTCCTATTACTCTTAGGATAAAATCAGAACTCCTAAACATCATCTGTATAGGATCTAGCGTCTTCTTACCTCTCTAGTGTAATTTCTCAATCCTACACACACTCAGACACACCTTCCACGTTCCCTTCAGTTCTCCCTCACCACCTATGTTTCACATCGCCCTCACTAGCCTATAATGATCGGTGTCCCTAAGAAGAAGATGATGAGTAAGACCAAGAACAGAAACAAGAATATCTAAAATGCCCTGAATGCCTTCTATGGCCAAGTAGCAGGACAAGAGCTTCTTGCTCACAGGATCGCTACAACTAGACAAAGTCTGGCATATATTAAGCCTTGGGTAAACAGACTCTGAATGAATTAATTTCCTAATATTAACCATCCCTCATTAGTAAAATAACTCTTTCTTGGCTATAGTGAATTACTTTTTTTTTTTTTTTTGAGATATAGAGTCTCACTCTGTCGCCAGGTGCCAGGCTGGAGTGCAATGGCACAATCTCAGCTCACTGCAACCTCTGTCTCCCAGGTTCAAGCAATTCTCCTGCCTTAGCCTCCCGAGTAGCTGGGACTACAGGTGCATGCCACCACATCCAGCTAATTTTTGAAGTTTTAGTAGAGATGGGGTTTCACCATGTTGGCCAGGATGGTCTTGATCTCTTGACCTCGTGATCCGCCCACCTTGGCCTCCCAAAGGGATTACAGGCTTGAGCCACTGTGCCCAGCCAGTGACTTACTCTTAATAGTCTACTTAGATTTGAGTTTCTGGTATTGATACTTTATTTAGAACACTGATTTCTACATTCATAAGGAATACTGGTACCTACCTTTCTACCTTTTCTTTCTTTTTTGTTTCTGTTTTTGCATCTCATTTGATTGATTTTTTTTTTCAATAAGTTTTTTTGTTTTGTTTTGTTTTGATAAGGAGTTTCACTCTTGTTGCCCAGGTGGAGTGTGATGGCATGAACCTGGCTCACCGCATACCTCCGGCTCCTGGGTTCAAGTAATTCTCCTGCCTCAGCCTCTTGATTAGCTGGGATTACAGGTATGCACCATAAAGCCCGGCTAATTTTTGTATTTTTAGTTGAGGCAAGATTTCACCATGTTGGCCAGGTTGGTCATGAACTCCTGACCTCAGGTGACCCACAGGCCTTGGTCTCCCAAAGTGCTGCGATTACAGGGGTGAGCCACTTTGCCCATATCTTTCACCCACACATTTAATCCTCTTTTCATCTTAATTAAGTATTTATGCACTGTGGCCATAACTTTTGCAGTTTGAGGTGCAACAGCAAAACTAGCAATAACTTCTTTTTCCTTCTTCACAATTTCACAGATAGAGAATTCTTACCATGGATCTCAGCAATCTTAGCATATAAGTTTTTTCTTTTCTTATTAAGAACTTTCACCTTTTTACTTAAAGGAGGCACTTAACAGTTTCTTTCTGTCATATTTGAATTGACAGCATCACTCATGGACCATGGACTTCAGGGCTGTTATTAGTATGATAAGGGTGCCTTGAACACAAGCAGTGAGATGCTGCAACAGCCAGTCTGATCACTGAGATGGCTGCTAAGGGACTGATGAGTAGGGAGTGTGTAGGGCGTGGATACGCTGGACAGAACAAGAATTCACATCCCAGGTGGATGGATGGGGTGGTGGAAGATTGCATTATGCTATTCAGGACAGCACAAAATTTAAAACTTATGAGTTACTTCTGGAATTTTCCATTTAATATTTTTTTGGCTGTGGTTGACTGCAGGTAACTGAAACTGTGAAAAACAAAACCATGGATAAGGGAGACTACTGTGTTAGTAAATTGAATTCGGCTGGCTGCAGTGGCTCACGCCTGTAATCCCAGCACTTTGAGGGGGCTGAGGCGGGTGGATCACCTGAGGTCAGGGGTTCGATACCAGCCTGGCCAACGTGGCGAAACCCTGTCTCTACTAAAAATACAGGCGGGCACCTGTAATCCCAGCTACTCGGGCGTCTGAGGCAGGAGAATAGCTTGAACCCAGAAGGCAGAGGTTGCAGTGAGCTGAGATCGCACTCTGTCTCAAAATAAATACATAAATAAAAATAAATAATAAATAAATAAATTCAGCGGGATATTAAAAATAATACATCAGAAGTAAGTGGAATTTTACCCATGGAATCAAAAAATGGCTCAACAGAAATGTAATTCACCAGGTCAATAGATTAAAAACCATATGGTTATCTCCTCAGATGCAGAAAAGCATTCAGTAAAATCCAGCATTTTCATAATATGCTAAATGAATGAGCAGAACAGGCTAAATTTAGACTCTCATGGTGAATCCCTTTATAAAGCAGATTCCATCCCATTTATATTTTGAGTAAACCCAGATTTTCAAATATTAGGTTTTCTTTTCATAAAGGCTTAATTTCATGATGAAACCCAAATATATTCAGAAGCTGTGCTCAGTTCCTTGGGAGAACACAAAAACCTATAAACAAACCAAAAAATAATGGGGACTTTATTTGCATTTCACATATTTCAGTGGCAGATGGATGTATCAGGAGCGTTCTTTAAGTAGCAAGCTCCCAGCATACCTAAGTGGGACTGTGTTTTCCCATCATGCGAGTGCATACCCAGCATATATTGGGCCAAACGAGGCCGATCTGACCTCAGGGAGTCCTCAGGCAAGTGCCCTGTGTGCTGTGATCTCAGCCGCTTTCCTCATTGACTGTTTCTCTTCTTTTCTTTTTTTCGAGACAGAGTTTCACTCTGGTCGCCCAGGCTGGAGTGCAGTGGCAGGATCTCGACTCACTGCAACCTCTGCCTCCAGGGTTCAAGGGATTCTCCTGCCTCAACCTCAGAGTAGCTGGGATTACAGGCACCCGCCACCACGCCTGGCAAATTTTGTATTTTTAGTAGAGATGGGCTTTCTCCATGTTGAACAGGCTGGTCTTAAACTCCTGACCTCAAGTGATCTGCCCTGCCCTCCCAAAGGGCTGGGATGACTGGAGTAAGTTACCACGCCCTCCTTGACTGTTTCTGAGGGATGTCGTTTTTTTCTCCCATCTTGTGCAGGTCCAAGCTGAAGACGGTGCATGAGCGGATCCCCTTGGTTGGACTGAGCAAGCTTCCCAGTGTCCCTCAGATTGCAAAGGTGAGAAGTTAATTTGTGAGAGAAGGTGGCTTCCTCCTTCAGCCCAGGGCTGGCCTCTGGAGTAGGGGTGCAGGTGGGTCTGGGGTGGGCTCAGCCCTTGGGGAAGGGGAGGCCACTTTACTTTGGCCCTTGACTACATGGATGGGGGTCGGGGCGGGCTGTGGGCAGATGCCTCTGTCTTTCCTTCCCACTCCCCAGCTCATCCTTGGTGTGGAGGCTGCTCAGGAACAGTATAGTATCATCTATGGTCTCTACCTCCATGTAGTTCACAGCTAGTTTGGGGGGTGAGAGAAGTGGAAAGACGGGGCTGGATGTGGTGAATGCTGTAGGACGTCAGTGGAGGAGTGGGGGCGGGGTGGCCAGGGGAGCCTTCACAGCAGAGGGGAGGCCTGAGTCAGGCTGAAGCATGGTCCAGATTGACCACCCCCTTGAGTAAGGAGCCTGCGAACTTGGGAACTGAGTTAGCAAAGTGGACTGAGCAGGATAGTCAACTGGGTTGGTTGGATCCTCACTCTGGGAGCAAGAATGTCACAGAATTGTGCTGAATTCCTTTGGTGGCAGTTGTGGGCTTGGTAGCATTTGGCATTGTCTTCAGGCCAGAACAGAGACAAATCTCAGGCTTTGTCTGATCCCTTCCCGCACTTTACCAGCAAACCTGGGAAAGGAGAGTTGACTTTCCTGGGCACTCATTAGTGAGCAGCAGTCGGAATCCAGCCCAGGCCACCTGACAGGTGTGGCTTGCCCTTCCATGCTGCGTTCTTGTGGAGGGCAGAGGAGCCTGGATGCCCTCTACAGAGGTGACCCCTGAACTGTGTGTTGTTCTCCCTTCTCAGGCTTTCTGTGATGATGCGGTGGGACTGAAATTCAACCCTGTCCTGTACCCCAAGGTGAGATCTTCATGCCTCCTGCTATGGGGGCCTGCAGCTTGGCAAGGATTTGCAGACCCAGGGCTCCTTGGGGAGTTCTTTGCATCATAGTGGGGTTTCTTGGGGTCTCCATAATAAGCATTATGTTTCCTCTATCCCTGCCCTTCCCTTCACAAACTGGTCCACTGGGAACCCATCCTCAGCCATGCCTAGGCCTCCAGCCCAGTCAAATCGGTCCCCAGGCTGTTGTAAAGGTGACAGAGGGTGTAGCAGTGTTATTGCTTCTCCACCACACTTCAGTGGTACCTCCCTCCAGCCAGTGCTGGAGGGGCTTGTGCAGATCCTGTATGTTGTCACAGAGGGACAGGAAGTACAGCAGGCAGAAACTCACTAAGAAGTGAAAGGCCGGATAGCCACCCTGCCATTGCCTGTGTTACTGAAGCTCTCAGGCCTTATGAGTCTCTGCTGCCTTCATTCATAAAATGGCTGGTTTTCTGATATCCATTTCCTTTGAATTGGCCTGATATTGACTCCAGTTCTGATATGGGGGTGTGAGTGGGAAGAGAAGCAGTAATAATAAACCCACTGAAGGATAATTATGGCATGAGAGGACTTAAATCACCATGGACCATGAATTACTTGAAATTGGCCACAGGAGAAGACCCAGTGCATCGACTGCCTCTTTGTGGGCCAGCAGGCTCTGGAGATGGAAATCAGAAGCAGAGCCACACTTCTGAGCTACTGCCATGGGCCATGCTGCAGCGGCTGAGGCCTGCTGGGGTCGGCTCTATCTGTTCTGAGTCCCAACTCTGACAACCAGGACCCATGAGATGAAACGTCTGGTGAGGAAGAGAGGCCCCATTCCAGTGGAGACATCCAGAATCCCCTTGAACAAACACTTTTTTTTTTTGAGGCAGAGTCTTGCTCTGTCACCCAGGCTGGAATGCAGTGGTGCGATCTCAGCTCACTGCAACTGCCGCCTCCCGGGTTCAAGTGATTCTCCTGCCTCAGCCTCTCAAGTAGCTGGGATTACAGGTACCCACCACCATGCCCAGCTAACTTTTGTATTTTTAGTAGAGACAGGGTTTCACCATGTTGGCCAGGCTGGTCTTGAACTCCTGACCTCAGGTGATCTGCCCACCTCAGCCTCCCAAAGTGCTGGGATTATAGGCATGAGCTACCGTGCCCAGCTGGAACAAGCACTCCCAGGGTTCAGGATTAGGCATGACACTCTCAGAAGCAGCCATTTATCCGCCTGCAGTGGCTGAGTGAATGGCGGAGTCCTCTCCTGCACAGAGCTCTCATCTTCCACGTGCCTGTGTTCAGCTCTTTTAGCATCTGTTGATACCAGGAGTGTGCTGCATGCCATTGAACATTTTCTATCAAGCAGACTGACCTCCCCTTTGTAATTAAAACTGAATTAGTGGGGTTTAACCAAACATGAAAACCCCATCCTAAACGTCTAAACTTAACTATAGGTTTGGCAGTTTTGGTTGTCAAATCATAGCCACTGAGAAGACCAATGATGTCTGTTTGCACCATTCTCTCCATGACTTGGAAAGCCTCCGGCCTTGGTAATAATGGAAGAGCAGCTGTATTTTCATGTTTTCTACATTTGAAGGACTGCTGAGTCCGGCTGGGATGTTAATCTGGCTGAAATGCATGTATGTGTGTGTTTTTAAAATTTGCAGAGTTTAGAACATTCTTTGGAAGTTCTCCATGGCCTGGTGCCTCTCCCTGGCAGGGCAGCTGTTCCTCCCTGTGACTCACCCAGGCTGGAGTGGAGGCCTCCAGGGTCGGGCAGCAGCGCCCTTGCTGGGGTAGCTGCGAAGTGTTCATTTCCCCAGAGAGCCTAGAGCCTCACAGAGGTACACAGTGTGTGGCAACCTCACACAGGGCCCAGATTCCAGCCAAGAAGCTGGGCCTGGCTTGTTCTTCCTCTCACAGAACGTGTGATTGCATACCTCCTTTTTTTCTTTTTCAAATGCTGCATTTAATGCTTTCACCACTGTGCTTCAAATCTACATTGTACAAAGTGACCAGAAAGTGCGCCACGGTAACTGACCAACCTCTGAGATAAAACTTTTTACACCAGTGCCTTGAGCTCTTTTGGTACTAAACATGTTTCTCATTCAAGTGAATTGAAATGCTTCAGTTGGGTTGATTCTCAGGAGCCTCATAAAACAAAAACAAAACAAAGATATTGCACCATCTTTGTTTAGTAATTCATTGTTTGTTTCTTTCACAGCAAATAGTTACTTCATTGAAGTTAAAACTTCCAAACATAACTTATTAATAGTCTTCAAATTCAGCTCAGATCACTCAACTTGAAAGTGCTTAGTTAAATAAGATAACTTACAATAACTTTTCAGTTCATTGTCCATAACACACACTAACTTTTTTTCCTAGACCAATTTTAAGATGAACCATTAGTATTTCTTGTTCAGGTGAAAAATTATCTTCAATTTTCTTGTCTTTTTATTTTTAATGTAAAAGTTGGAAGGGACATTCAAGTTTGAAGTCTCCACACTGAGAATCACTCCTTTTCTTTTTTTTTTTTTTTTTTTTTTTGCTGAGATTGATTATCCCAACAGCTCCCAAATCTTTTCTTCCCCAAGAAGCTGGTTCAGCTCTGATACTTCTGGAGTGTCATATAGATGATGATGATGATGATGATGATGATAACTGCTCTGTGCTCAGCTTTTTTTCATTGAATCTTCATAATGACACATCTCTATTTAACAGATGAGGAAACCGAGCCCCAGAGAAGTGGCTCATTCAAAGCTACATAGGTAAAAACAGTGGATTCGGGACTGGAGTTTTCGTTTTTTGATCCCAGTCATCAGCTCTCTGATGCATAATGGAGAATTAGATAGAACCAGTAGTCAGGTTTTCAACAGTTCTTCTTTGCATATTGTATTAGGGTATGTTCCTCCTTGGTGTGATCTTCTTGGATACCTCTCATTTTATGCGGAGGGGACTGAAGTTTGGTCAGGAGCGGTGACTTGCTCGGAATCATACTGCTGATTAGAGTTGCAATTAGGGCTAGAGTTATCCATGCTGATCAGTTTTGGGGTTCTGGCTTCACTTTTTTTTTTCTTTTGAGATGGAGTTTCCCTCTTGTTGCCCAGGCTGGAGTGCAATGGTGCCATCTCGGCTTGCCGCAACCTCCACTTCCCAGGTTCAAGTGATTCTCCTGCCTCAGCCTCCTGAGTAGCTAGGATTACAGGCACCCACCACCACGCCCAGCTAATTTTTGTATTTTTAATAGAGAGGGGTTTCTCCATGTTGGTCAGGCTGGTCTCGAACTCCCAACCTCAGGTGATCTACCCGCCTCAGCCTCCCAAAGTGCTGGGATTACAGGCATGAGCCACCGCGCCCAGCCCTGGCTTCACTTTTTACACCACAGATTGAACACTGGGGTCAAGTAAACTGCTGGACACAGGCACCCGAGCCGTGGCTGGCACATCTGGATGGGAATGGAATGAGTGATACAGAGGTTTGCTTCCTACCGAGGGAGCTCAGGTTTTGGAAGCCAGCTTAGACCTTGGGAGCTGCCTGCTGGCTGACTGCTTATTATTTCTCTCACTCCATGTCTGTGGATGTTTCATTTCCAGGGGACTCACCCTCCACCTAAGTGGATGCTTCCTTGTCCATGTGCTTCCTCACTTGCTTCCAAATTTCACAAATGTTGATGTTTTTCTTGCCACATCTTCCAGGCTTCCCAGATGATTGTGTCCTATGATGAGCATGATGTCAACAACACATTCAAATTCGGAGTCATTTACCAAAAAGCCAGGCAGGTAAGCAGCACCATCTATATGGGTCACTGTGTCCCATGGTTTCTCACCTAGGACTCTTTCTATCCCCACCCTGAGCACAGGAGCCCTCAACTGCGTTCCTCAGCATTCGGAATACAACTGTCACATTCGAGGTTTGAATTAGACTGGAGGTGGCAGGACTTTCCAGAAGGCTACTTCTTACACAAAGGCCTGCACGTTCTTAAGCAGTGATGTCATTTTTTTTTTTATAACAAATTCGCATTCTTCCTGGCTGCCTCAGCTTATATGTATTTTTGGGCTGCTGGTTATAAGCAAAATCAGACTGGGAAGAGGGAATGGAGGAACATAGGCTGCTCTCTCCTTGCCCAAATTTCTCCCCACTGGGAATGAGCTTTTTCTCTCCACACTTCAGTGATGTGATGGAGCCAGCTGTGTGCATCTCTTTGCCACTCTCTCCTGTGACATCATGTGGACAGCTTGAAGTCAGCCATGGTGGAAGTATTTACACTACGAAAATTGGCAGACACCAGGGTTTGTATGTTCCTCCTCTGGAGAGCCAGTGGCTGAAAATTTGCCAGCACACCACTGCTCAGCATCTGTCTTTTGTGGCACTCACATGCTGCTTTGGAGTTAATTGGCCAGAATGATGTTTCTCAAAGTGTGTTCCATGAGATTCTAGTCTGATGGTGTACTCTGTGAGCAAATGACTTGGGAGGGGTTGTCACTTGTGTGAGAGCCTTTTGAAGGCTTTAAGAACCTCCAAGGTAAAGAACTCTATAGTTTTGTTGAACTTAGTGTTTTCCATCCTTACTTTACCAGAAACTTCCAATCTTTCCTGCCTCTTTCCTACCATGAACATTTGTTAACATACCTGATAGAGGACCAGCTGAACACGCTGTTTCCTCACTGAGGCTCTTTGAGAGGAAAGTTCCACGCTCATTTCATCTTTGTATCATCTCAGAGCCTAGCATGTAACCCTCATATAAATACACTCCATTGTTATGTGAGTTAATGAATGAATAAAAATGTCAGCCCTACTAATGGCAGGTTAATGGTATCTTCTGATAGTATCTGTATTTTTTTTGCATGATGGTATCTTCCTTGGTTAGATGAAACCTGGTGTTCTCATGTAGAGATACTAGACCATAAGAGACATGCCTTTGCTTAAAAATATACTAATTAGGTGAAGAGTTTAGGATCTGCAAGACTAACACTGATGAGTCTTATAATTTAAGGGCCATTATTCAGGTAGCTGCCATAATCATTTTCACGTATTACATTTCTGTTTTATACAGCTTTGCTAATAGAACCCCCCAATTAAAGTTCTTTGCTTGTGAAATTTACCAAAGCAGATCTTATAAGGTGATTACAATCCAGTGTTCCAGCAAAGTTATAATTATGGAACACCAGCCATTCATCTCTGAGAGGGGGTCTAGGTATTGTTTATGTACCTGATGCTACTGTGGGGGAAAAAGCCAGGAAGATAACATTCTATTTTTTTTTTTAAAAAACCTGGGCAGATCATTGTTTTGCAAACCTGCAGCTGGGGGACATTTAGTATGAACATTTGTTGCATCAAAGCTCTATGCTGGACTCTAGGTATAAATGAGCCTCACCTAACTCTCGTGTGTGCTGTGCGCTGTGTTATGCACTCTGGCGGATACGGTGATGACTAAGCCCCCCCTCCCTGAGTGCATGGTCAAGCTCAAGGCAAGTATCAAAATGACTGCAATGCTACTATCAGCCTGGATGTGGATCTTGAAAGAGGAGCGAGTGCCCCAGAGTACACACTGGATCGTTTCTCTTTTTCTTTTTCTTTTTTTTGAGACGGAGTCTTGCACTTTGCCCAGGTGGGACTGCAATGGCGTGATCTCGGCTCACTGCCACCTCCGCCTCCTGGGTTCAAGTGATTCTCCGCCTCAGCCTCCTTAGTAGCTGGGATTACAGGCCCACACCACCATGCCAGCTAATTTTTTTGTATTTTTAGCGGAGACAGGGTCTCCAGACTGGTCTCAAACTCCTGACCTCATGATCTACCTGCCTTGGCCTCCCAAAAAGCTGGGATTACGGGCGTGAGCCACGGTGCCCGGCCACTGGATTGTTTTTCTAGTGGGAGATGTAGGTTGCCTGGAATCAGCTGCTCTTCCACACTCTGGCCTCATGACCTGGAGCAGGTTAGGACATTGGTTGCTATGTCTTCATGGCATGCTGTAGATCAGGGATTGGCAAACCTTTTTGGGTAAAGGGCCAGATAGGAAACATTTTCAACTTCATGGGCCTTGGAGTCTCTGTGACAGCCACTCAACTTTGCCTTGCTGGTGCAGAAGTAGCAATAAACAATAGATAACGTGAGCCGGCCTGTCTGTGTTCCAATGAAACTTCATCTATAAACACAGGCAGCAGGCCAGACTTGGCCCATGGGCTGTATTTTGCTGACCCCTTCGAGAGCACGGTGTCTCCCAGCCTTCAGGCCTTCACAGACCATATCCAGCATCTGTACCATGGCATTTGTTCACCCTATGCCACTGTTAAGATTTTTATCACACCTATACTATTAACTAAATATTTTCTTTTCTTTTTTTTTGAGATGGAGTTTTGCTGTTGTTACCCAGACTGGAGTGCAATGGTGTGATCTCTGCTCACCGCAACCTCCACCTCCTGGGTTCAAACAATTCTCCTTCCTCAGCCCCCCGAGTAGCTGGGACTACAGGTGCGCACCACCATGCCCAGCTAATTTTTGTATTTTTAGTAGAGATGGGGTTTCACCTTGTTGACCAGGATGGTCTCGATCTCTTGACCTCGTGATCCACCCGCCTCGGCCTCCCAAAGTGCTGGGATTACAGGCATGAGCCACCGCGCCTGGCCATATTTTCTTTAAAAAGTTTTTTTTTTAAATACTTACATCTATATATATATTTATGTATGTATGTATGTATGTATGTATGTATGTATGAATGAATGAATGAGACAGAGTCTTGCTCTTGTCGCCCAGGCTGGAGTGCAATGGTACAGTCTTGGCTCACTGCAGCCTCCGCCTCCAGGGTTTAAGTGATTCTCCTGCCTCAGCCTCCCAGGTAGCTGGGATTACAGGTGCATGCCACCAAGCCAGTCTAAGTTTTGTATTTCTAGTAGAGCTGGGGTTTTGCCATGTTGGCCAGGCTGGTCTCGAACTCCTGACTTCAGGTGATCGACCTGCCTTGGCCTCCCAAAGTGCTGGGATTACAGGCATGAGCTACTGTGCCTGGCCACATGCATTTATTTTTAAAGGAATTTTTATGTCACTCCTTTAGGTGGAAAACCGTATCACTTATCATGAAATGAAGGTAATTCTAAAAGAAACACTATAAAAAAACAAAACAAAATTATTGAAATCTACTGGATTCTCTTGCCTGTTGAAGTCATGGAGCCCAAGGTCTGCTTTTGTTATTGTTGCTGTTGTAATTACCCACAGGAGACATTCTCTTGAAGTGATTGGGCAGGCTAGAGTGTCTTTATGCCATCTTCAGCTGTTGGTGGCAGCCTATGCATGTTTGCAGAGCCTTCAGCTATTTGCAGATCCTGCCACTGTGGGCACGGCCTATTGATCAGGCAGTATTTAAGCCTGCTACTGTTTGCAGAGCTCGCTACGGTTTTTTTTAACAAAGTAGCCGGGCATGGTGGTGGGTGCCTGTAGCCCCAGTTACTCAGGAGGCTGAGGCAGGAAAATCTCTTGAACCCCAGTGGTAGAGGTTGCAGTGAGCCAAGATCGTGCCATTGCACTCCAGCCAGGGCAATAAGAGCGAAACTTCATCTCAAAAAAATAAAATTACTAACCTTTTAATTTTTAAATATCTGTAGATTCATATACAGTTGTAAAAAATAATCCAGCGAGATCTAATGTACCCTTTACCTCCTTTCTCTTGCAAAACAATAGCACAATATCACAACCAGGATATGGACATCACTCTCCCCGCTCCAGTCCCTCACCCCTGACAACCACTCATCTGTTCTCTAATTTCTAAAGCATTGTTATTTCAAAAATGTTATATAAATGGAATCACATAGTATATAACCATTTGAGATTGGCTTTTTTCCAGTCAGCAAGATTCATCTAAGTTTTTGAGTGTATCAATACTGTGTTCTTTTTCATTGCTGAGTAGTATTCCATGGTTGAATTGTACCACAGTTTTTGTTTAACCATCATCCATTGAAAGACATTTTTGACTATTATGAATGAAGCTGCTATGAACATCTGTATGTAGGTCTTTGTGTGAACATAAGTTTTCATTTTTCTGGGATAAATGCTTAGGAATACAGCTGCTGAGTTATATGGTAATTATGTATTTAGTTTTGTAAGAAATGGCCAAACTCTTTTCTGGAGTGCTTCTTCTTACCAGCAATGTATGAATGATCTAGTTTCTCTACATCCTTGCCAGCATTTGGTGGTGTGACTGTATTTTATTTTAGCCATTCTGATAGATGTATAGTGACATCACCTTATGGCTTTAATTTGCATTTCTCTGATCGCTGATGATGTTGGACATCCTCTCATGTGCTTATTTGCCATCTGTATATCCTCTTAGGTGAAGTGCAAATGCCTGTTCATGTCTATTTTTTTTTTGAGACAGGGTCTCACTCTGTTGCCCAGGCTGGAGTGCAGTGGTGTGATCTCGACTCATTGCAACCTCCACCTCTTGGGTTCAAGAGACTCTCCTGCCTCAGCCTCCTGAATAGCTAGGACTACAGGTGTGCGCCACCATGCCCAGCTGATTTTTGCATTTTTAGTAGAGATGGGGTTTTGCCATGTTGGTCAGGCTGGTTTCAAACTCCTGACTTCAAGTGATCAGCCTGCTTCAGCCTCCCAAAGTGTTGGAATTACAGGCATAAGCCACGTGCCTGGCCATTTTTATGTCTTTTTTTTTTTTTTTTCATTTTTATGTCTTTAGACCATTTTCTAATTTTTTTTTGGTTGAGTTAAAAATATTTTTAAAAATAACAGCTTTATTGAGCACATCAGCATAAATGTCATACCGTATAATTCATAATGGTATGTAATTTATTTATTTTTATTTATATATTTTGAGATGAAGTCTCAAAAATATATAAATATGTATATATTCTATATAATATATATTAAAAACATAAAAATACATAAATATTTATTTATTTTTTTGAGATGGAGTCTCGCTCTGTCTCCCAGGCTGGAGTGCACCCTCTGCCTCTTGGGTTCAATCGATTCTCCTGTCTTAGCCTCCCAAGTAGCTGGGATTACAGGCATGTGCCACCACACCTGGCTAATTTTTTTTATTTTTAGTGAAGACAGGGTTTTCATCATGTTGGCCAGGCTGGTTTTGAACTCCTTCCCTTGTGATCCACCCAGAGTGCAGGGATTACAGTCATGAGCCACTGTAACTGGCCATGGTATGTAATGTATATCTCAATAAAGTGTGCAATTCAGTGGTTTGTAGCATAACCACATAACTGTGCAACTGCTCCCACTATCTAACTCCGGAACATTTTCATCACCTCCAAAAGAAACCCCACACTCACCAGTAGTCACTCCCATCCCCCTTTCCTTTAGCTTCTGCCAACCCTAATCTAATTTCTGTCTCTGTGGATTTGGCTGTTCTAGACCTTTTATAAATGGAATCATAATACCTGGCCTTTTGTGACTGGCTTCTTTAACTCAGCATAATGTTTTGAGGGTTTATCTAGGTCATAGTATATTTCAGCAAGTTATTTCTTGTTTATGGCCAAATATTCCACTGTGAGGCTAGCACATATTTTGTCTATGTATTCATCAGATGGATATTTGGGTTCTTTCTCCTTTTGGGCTATTACAAATAGTACTGCTATGGATATTCGTGTATAAATTTTCTGTGGACATATTTCATTTCTCTTTGGTGTATACCCAGGAGTGTGGTTGCCGGATCATATGGTAACTGTGGTTAGCCTTTGGTATACACCTGGGAGTAAGGTTGCCGGATCATGTGGTAACTGTGGTTAGCCTTTGGCATATGCCTGGGACTGAAGTTGCCGGATCATATGGTAACTCTGTGCTTAGCCTTTGGTATACGCCTGGGAGTGAGGTTGCTGGATCATATGGTAACTCTGTGTTTAGCCTTTGGTGTACGCCCAGGAGTGAGGTTGCCAGATCATGTGGTAGCTGTGGTTAGCCTTTGGCATATGCCCGGGAGTGAGATTGCCAGATCATATGGTAACTCTGCATTTAGCCTTTGGTGTATGCCCGGAAGTCAGGTTGCCGGATCATATGGTAACTCTGTGGGTAGCCTTTGGCGTATGCCCGGGAGTGAAGTTGCCAGATCATATGGTAACTCTGCATTTAGCCTCTGGTGTATGCCCTGGAGTGAGGTTGCCAAATCATATGGTAACTCTGCATTTAGCCTTTGGCATATGCCCGGGAGTGAGGTTTAGGATCATATGGTAACTCTGCATTTAGCCTTTGGTGTATGCCCGGAAGTGAGATTGCTGGATCATATGGTAACTCTGTGGTTAGCCTTTGGCATATGCCCAGGAGTGAGGCTGCCAGATCATATGGTAACTCTGTGGTTAGCCTTTGGTATATGCCTGGGAGTGAGGTTGCCAGATCATATGATAACTCTGTGGTTAGCCTTTGGCATATGCCCAGGAGTGAGGCTGCCGGATCATGTGGTAACTGTGGTTAGCCTTTGGCATATGCCCGGGAGTGAGGTTGCCAGATCATATGGTAACTCTGTGGTTAGCCTTTGGTGTATGCCCAGGAGTGAGGCTGCCGGATTATATGGTAACTGCATTTAGCCTTTGGTGTACGCCCGGGAATGAGGTTGCTGGATCATATGGTAACTCTGGTTAGCCTTTGGCATATGCCTGGGAGTGAAGTTGCTGATCATATGGTAGCCATTTGAGGAACTCCTGAACTGTGTTCCACAATGACTGTGTCATTTTCATTTTCAGCAGCAGCATTCGATGGTTCTGATTTCCCCACACCCTCACTTGTTATTGCCTTTAATTGCCTTTATTTTCATTCTGGCCATCCTAGTGGATTGGAAGTGGTTTGTCATTGTGGTTTTGATTACTTTAGAGTTTTGAGAGTTCTTTATATATTCTTTTTTTTTTTTTTTCGAGACAAGGTCTCACTCTGTCTTCCAGGCTGGAGTGCTGTGGCGCAATCTCAGCTCACTGCAACCTTCACTTTCAAGACTCAAGCGATTCTCCTGCCTCAGCCTCCCAAATAGCTGGCAGGCATGCACCACCATGCCTAGCTAATTTTGTATTTTTAGCAGAGATGGGGCTTCACCATGTTGGTCAGGCTGGTCTTGAACTCTTGACCTCAGGTGATCTGCCCGCCTTGGCCTCCCAAAGTGCTGGGATTGCAGGTGTGAGCCACCCTACCCGGCCCTTAATATATTCTTGATACTTGTCCTTTGTTAGAAGTTCAGTGATCAATTTATTTTATTTTAATCTTTTTTTCTTAAAAATTAAACCTGGCAACTTTAAGATCAATTTTTTGTTTATGGATCCTGTTTTTGCTTTCAAATCTAAGAACGCTTTACTTCAGTTTTACCCTTTGAACTGACCAGCAGCCTTTGCTCACATAGAAAGGCCTCATGCACCAGCCTTGAAGATCTGGTGCTGGCGAATGAGTCTCCAGGAGTCTCTCCTCCCATGGAAGGCTGCTGCGGCACAGGTGCTGGGAGACAGGGAGGCAGGAAGGAAGGGACCAGGTGTCTGGGCAATCATATTCCTTCCTTTGGCATCACAAAGGATTTTTCTAATTCCTGCCCTTATTCCTATTTCTCTTTCAGACTCTGGAGGAGGAGCTGTTTGGGAACAATGAGGAGAGCCCAGCTTTTAAGGAGTTCTTGGACCTGCTGGGGGACACGATCATGCTGCAGGACTTCAAAGGGTGGGTTTCAGCCAAGTGGCCACTCCAGCTCCATCACCGAGGGCCCCAGAGGAGGAGCAAGGGGTAGACAGCGCTGTCCTTAGGGAGCACATGTGAGAATTAAGAACACATAAGAAATGAGGGATGACTTTTCAGGTTCTGGTCCCTCACTGCATTTCTAAGGAATCAGTGGTCCAGGGAGTGATCCAGTGTGGCAGATCCCCCTGAAGGCGTTCATGTTCGGCCTCGGGCTCTGCACCAGATTTGCCTTCCTAATTACATTGGCCCAGACTGAAAAGGAAAGGAATCCAGCTTCCCTGTTAGGTGTTTGGGAAAGAGAGCCTTGTGCAGTTTTGGGGGAAATGATCTATTTTATTTTATTTTTTATATTTGGAGACAGAATCCTGCTCTGTTACCCAGGCTGGAGTGCAGTGGCATTATCTCAGCTGACTGCCACCTCCATCTCCCAGGTTCAAGAGATTCTTGGACCTCAGCCTCCAGAGTATCTGGGACAACAGGCACCCACCACTATGCCCAGCTAATTTTTTTGGAATTTTAATAGAGTCGGGGTTTTGTCATGTTGCTGAGGCTGGTCTCGAACTCTTGACCCCAGCAATTCATCCACCTCAGCCTCCTAAAATGCTAGGATTACCATCATGAGCTGCTGCGCCAGCCTGAAAGAATGCATCATTAGAGTGGATGCAAATAGAACAGTTCCTCGGGCAGGAATCCATACAACAGTCATGCGTATAATGCCAGCACTTTGGGACGCCAAGGTGGGTGGATCGCTTGAGCCCAGGAGTTTGAGACCAGCCTGGGCAACATGGCGAGACCCTGTCACTTAAAAAATTTGAAAATTATAAAAATTAGCCAGCTGTTGTGATGTGCTCCTGTGGTCCCAGCTACTTGGGAGGCTGAGGCGGGGAGAATCACTTGAGCCCAGGAGGCTGCAGTGAGCTGTGATTACGCCACTGCACTCCAGGCTGGATGATAGAGTGAACCCCGACGCAAAAAAAAAACAAAACAAAACGTGGGCCTTAGAATAGATGAAATACAGTATATGAAGCCCAGAAGGTCCTCAGAGATGAAATTCTATCCTGCTATTTTATGGAGGCCTAGAGAGACTAAACATACTGTCCAAGACCATGTGCTGATTTAGTGGCAGAAGCAGGTCTAGAACCTGGAACTCCTGACTCTGTGGCCAGCGTCCCTTCTGCTATGCCAGGCTGGGCACATTTTCTGGCTTGTAGTATTGGGGATGCTGAGATTCTAGGTCCATCTTATTTCATTTTCTTGAAGGAACCTACATCTGCTGAAGAATGTGATGGAGGCTGGCAGCCGTGTGCATGTGTGTGTGTGTAAAGGCAGAAGGGGCAGCTCCTAGAAGCCCACCCAGTTCCTAAGTGCCTTTCTTTCCTGCCCGTGAGGAGGCGGCCAGAGAATGGACTTCCCCGGATACTCCTGGGCTGGGTGCTCCAGTGGTTGGGCCTCTGTTTTGGGGCTGGCTGGACAGAAGTCAAGCATCTGCTACCTTGTCTGGCTGACTTCAGGTGCTCCTCTGGGGCTCCCCACCAGCCAACAGGATGGCTAGTCGCCCTAACTCTGGGCAGAGGACTTGGACACGGTCTTGCAGGGAGCCAAGAAAGGCCTGTGCCCAGCCTTGGGGGCCACTGGCACCAGGGATGGGCGTTTGTCTCGGATTGTGGATGATGGGCTTCCTTCCCATAGACCATCCAGTGTGGAAAGGACACAGCCAGGCCTTAAAGTGGAGGCTCCGCTTTGTCTTTTATTTATTTATTTGGACACAGAGTCTCGCTCTTGTCACCCAGGCTAGAATGCCATTCGGCTCACTGCAACCTCCACCTCCCGGGTTCAAGTGATTCTCCTGCCTCAGCCTCCCGAGTAGCTGGGACTATAGGCATGCACCATCATGTCTGGCTAATTTTTGTATTTTTAGTAGATATGGGGCTTCACCATATTGGCCAGGCTGGTCTCGAACTCCTGACCTCAGGTGATCTTCCTGCCTTGGCCTCCCAAAGTGCTGGGATTACAGTCATGAGCCACTGTGCCTGGCCAGCTTTGTCTTGTAAATAATGGATTTGTGGGTATAATGCCAGGGCTGATACACTTGGAATAGGCCTACCTGCTTTTCCCACGTTCCCCCCAGCTCTGCCCCCCGCTTTCCTGCCTGGCCGTGTGTTTCCCTGCGGCGTATGCTTAGGCAAGCTGCATTCAGTTGCCCACTTGGTCTCACTCTCTTTTTACCCCATCTCCTGCCTGCTCTGTTGGCAGGTTCCGAGGAGGCCTGGATGTGACCCACGGACAGACAGGGGTGGAATCTGTGTACACGACATTCCGGGACAGGGAGATCATGTTTCACGTTTCCACAAAGCTGCCATTTACCGAGGGAGATGCCCAGCAGGTAACCTGGTTTGGGAGGCTTTGGGGGCCCAGGGCGTGTGAGGTGAAGGCCTGCCTCTTGTCTGACCTGCCTGAGAGACGCGGCCCTCCCCATTTCCGTTCCTTGCCGGCCAGTGGTTCAGCTGCACAGGAGCGTCACAGTCCGTTCTGTTGCGTTTCTGGCCAAGGCCGCGCCTCAGTAGTCCTGGGTGGGAGGCAGGGCAAGGCTCGTGGTTCTCCCCACGTTGATGGATGGGAAGACTGCAGCCCACAGTGGTTAAAAGGCTTCCTTGAGGTTTCTCTGTGTATTAGGGGCAGACACAGAGCAGAGCCTGAGTGTCCTGATCATATAGGGTGGTAGCAAAGGGTGCGTGATGGAGTGTGAAGATGGGGGCCTGAAGCCAGCTGTGCCACTCTGGGGCATGTGACTCTGGGCAAGTCTGTTAACCTTCTCATCTGTAAAATGGGGGTAACACTGTCCATGGTAGAGGGTTACTGTGGGGATTACATACATTTCTGACTAGGGCTCATGCGACGCCCAGCTCATGGCCAGCTTCCCATGGCACACCTGTTTACCATCCAGGCCCCTGGTTATTTTGTCCCCCACCCCCTGCCCCAGTGATGGAAGGCTGGTTATTGGGTGAGACTCCTAACCCACCCCCAGCTTCCCTCATCTCACAGGCTCCTCTCTCACCACATCTGCAGGAATTCAGCCTTGACCTGCACCAGGGAGACCTGGATGAGCCCTCTCTCCCCCATGTTTCTTGCTGTGGCCTTTGTTTGCTGCTCTGACAGGCATGCATCCCCAGGGAGAGGCACAGCTGGTCCCTGGCTGTTGCAAGCCCAGTTAGTCCCCCTGCCTTCTGCCCCTTTTCAGTCTGGGAAAGTAAGAAACGCAGGTGGGCCTTTGCCCAAACTCTGACCTATTTGTCTCTGAGCTGGAACTAGGGAGGTAGTGCAGATGTAAAATTGTAAACATAGTGCCTGGCTTCTTAGGAAAAAGGAAATTGGCAAACAAGATTATGAGTTGGCTCTAAAATAGCTACTGAATGTTCCAGAAACAAATGGAAGGAGAATTCCTTTTGTGTCCAACGTGAGTTTTCTCGCAGCCTTTCACCTCCAGCCTCTCTGTTCCTGTACGGCCCCTCTCTCCTGCTGCCCCAGCCTGGGGCTGAGGCCCCTGTTATGTCTGGGCCTTCTCTTGGGAAATATAACTTGTCACAGAGCTTGGCCCTTGGCGGGGACTGAGTAAATATTAGTTTCTCTTCCTAAGAAACGGGAAGATGTACGTGGAGTGAGGCAATTTGTGTAAAAGTGCCCAGCATGGTGCTTGGTGTATAACTGGTGCTCAGTGAATGAGAAACTCAATGTGAAGGGACGGAGCATGGGGCCTGCACGCAGTAGGTGTTTAATAAAGGAGCTAATGCATAGATAGGCGCCTACCCAGAACTCGATGGACAGGAGAGGGTTTTTGTGTGTGTGTCTCTGTCACCCAGGCTGGAGTGCAGTAGCACAATCATAGCTCACCGAAGCCTTGGACTTCAGGATAGGCTTAACGTTTAAAATCATGAATGAACAGCCCATCACGGTTCCAGGGATGCACAGGTGCTTGGTGGCTGAGATCACCTGCAGAGGCATCTGGCCCAGCTTGGGGTGTGGAGTTATGGTTGGGATCCTCCTTCCATCCCACCTGCACCAAGCTAGGTGATCAGTGTTCTCATGATCTACCACCTCCTCACTCTCATTCACCCTTTCAGAATCCACTGAGCACATCTCCTCCTCCAGGAAGCCCTCTCAGGTTGCCGTTGGGCCCTGTGATTTTGCCCTCCCCTCTGTCTCCAGAGCCATTAGGCATTTCATGCACAGCAGCCAGTTTAGCACTTGCCGCTGGCGGCTTTGTCAGTGTTCTCAGGCGGCTTCACCTGTGTTTATATTGCCCCCAGATCAATGACAGTCTCTCCCAGGGCAAGACCCAGCCTCGCCTTTTAAATATTCTTCCCAAGTCCTGAGTCAGGGATCTGCATTTTGTAGGGGTCAGTAAGATGCTCACTAGCCTCTGCCTAACAACTTGGCCATCTTCCCCATTTTTAATTTTCATTTTGGTGATGTCTGAAGATTGAAAGAAGGCCAGGCGCAATGGTTCACACCTATAATCCCAGCACTTTAGGAGGCTGAGGCGGGCTGGTCAGGAGTTTGAAATGAGCCTGACCAGTGTGCTGAAACCTCATCTCTACCAAAAAATACAAAAGTTAGTGGACGTAGTGGCATGTGCCTGTAATCCCAGCTACTTGAGAGGCTAAGGTGGGAGAATCACTTGAACCTGGGAGGTGGAGGTTGCAGTGAGCTGAGACCGCGCCACTGCACTACGGCCTGGGAAACAGTGAGACCCTGTCTCAAAAAAAAAAAAAAAAAAAAAAAAAGATGGAAAGAAGAACCCACTCTACTTTTCCCCAAATAGGAAAGCAACTCAAAAGATACAGAAAGCACAGCACTTGTTCATTGCGCTCTTTCCCTGGGCTGCCCAGCATCACCACTGTGCTTTCCTTCACACTTACCTTTCCAAAACAGCAACCACAAACTCTCCTTGCTCAGAATTCAGTTCTCCTGTGTGCAAATGAAAGGGAACCCACTCTGTCCCCAGAATATCTTTCATGATGTTCCTAGCTGGCTTGTAACCACTGAACACTTTTTATTTAGCTCCAGAGGAAGAGACACATTGGAAATGACATTGTGGCCATCATCTTCCAAGAAGAAAACACACCGTTTGTCCCAGACATGATAGCCTCTAATTTCCTCCATGCCTACATTGTGGTGCAGGTTGAGGCTCCAGGCACAGAGACCCCATCCTACAAGGTAAGGAGAAAGCCGAGTTGCAGGAGGTGGTGGGCCCAGGGACCTCATCATGTGTGGATTCTGTGATACCAGAGGACACTAGTCCACAGCAGTCAGAGATTCTTCGTGAGTTCTCAGGTTTCTGGGATTCCGAGCTGGATTCTGGGTGGGGAGGACCTTCCGAGGCCGCCTGCTCCACCTTGCTGCCTCCAGGCTCAATGGCATCTTACTTAAGGGTTGAGAAGCTCCAAGTGTTGTATTTGGAATTTGGTAATGTCATTTGCTAGATAGAGTAAGGCAGAGCTTGAATAAAGAAAGGAGAGTGTCAAAAGGACTAGCAGGAAAGGGCAGCAATAGAAGGGTGGTAACAGGAAAGAAAGACAAAAATACCTATGGTGAGGGTGGAGGTGAGGGGCCTGGGAGACCCCGGCCACTGGCTGAGCCCCTGGCCTGGGTGTTTTGGACAAGTGGTTGATCTCGATTTAAAGACCTGCAAGGAGGCAGATGCGCAAGCACCTGGGTCTAAACCTCCCAAGCAGTCACTGGTCTGTCAGATGGCTCGACATCCTCACCAGGCTGATGAGAGTGAGATGGAGCAGCTCATTGCCCCTGCAGTCCCCACCTCCCTACTCCTTCAGACTGGACCACTGACGGTCCCCTCCTCTGCTCCACAAGAAACAGTTTCGACCTCTTGGGCAACAGCCTCTTTGTATCACAGTGCTGTGGTGGGCACAGGACTCAAGGGAGAGAGACTGAGGCAGGGTTTTCAAGGTTTGGGTGAGGCATCTGCGCCCCCCTTCAGATCTGTGCAAAATGCTGGATTTGTACCCTTCCTTGGATTTCTGAAAAGAGGGGCCATACCTTACATTCTCAAAGGGCTCCCTGCTCTGCAAAATATCAGGAACCATTGTTGTAAGGGAGAGGAAAGATGAGCCTGCAATTGCCAGTGGGAAACCATGAGGCCTGAAGATGTTTCCCTTAAAATAATTTCAGCCCACACTGATTCCCGGAGTTCATGACCCCACAGCATTTCAACTCAGGTCAGTGCAAAATTCACGCCAGCTTTTAAAACCAAATGTGAATCGTCAGAGAAAATAAAAAGAGGCTGGGCACGGTGGCGTACGCCTGTAACTCTAGCTTGGGAGGCAGAGGCAGGAGGATTGTTTGATGCCAGAAGTCCAAGACCAGCCTGGGCAACCTAGTGAGACTCTGTCTCTAAAAACGAAACACGCAGCAGAAACCAAATAGCACCTCCCTCCAGTTGAGGCTGATTTCTTCATGCTCAGGCTTATGCTTCCCTGCCATTGAGCAATTTTAGCTGAAGTCAGAGAAGACCTGGTGTGGGCATTTCTTTTTTTTGTTTTTTTTTTTTTTGAGTTGATGTCTCACTCTGTCACCCAGGCTGGAGTGCAGTGGTGGGATCTCGGCTCACTGCAACCTCCGCCTCCCAGATTCAAGCGATTCTCCTGCCTCAGCCTCCCTAGTAGTTGGGTTTACAGGTGTGTGCCACCACACCCAGCTAAATTTTTGTATTTTTAGTAGAGACAGGGTTTCGCCACATGGGCCAAGCTGGTCTCGAACTCCTGCTCTCAGTTGATCTGCTCGTCTCAGCCTCCCAAACTGCTGGGATTACAGGTGCGAGCCACCACAGCCAGCCCATTTCTTGAAGGCTGAATGATCACTTGCTTTGAGTGAAATGGGCATTCACTGCTTGATTCATGTGTTGGTGGAAGCACGTTGACTCACTCAGTGCCTACTGTGTGCCAAGCACCATGCTGAAGTGGGGCTCATGGAGGTAACAGAATCAGCCTCAGGGCCTTCCTGATGCCGGAGAAGGGACACAAGAACCAGTGAGTGCAGGTCAGCCACTGGGCAGCTCTGCTAGTCACCTGTTTCTTTTAATAGACAGTAGAAGAGGAGGAACTACTGATGAAGCCGTGTGATAGGAGCGCCCCAAACCCTCTGGCAGGATGAGGCCTCCTGTAGATGTTTAGCGTTTGCTTCTCATTCCTAATAGGAAATGCGTCTCAGCTAACTGGCTTCTCCGCTTTCCTGAGACCTTAGCCGAGTGGTACACCCATACAGAGAAAACTTGGAGATCCAAAAAAGCACCACTCCACCTGCAGCTTTGCTGCTAGAAGTCTTTACCCATTCTTCTTTTTTTTCCAATACGGAGTCTTGCTCTGTCACCCAGACTGGAATGCAGTGGACTGATTACGGCTCACTGCAACCTCCGCCTCTTGAGTTCAAGCAATTCTCCTGCCTCAGCCTCCCAAGTAGGTGGCATTACAGGTGCCCGCCACCACACCTGGCTAATTTTTGTATTTTTAGTAGAGACAGGGTTTCACCATGTTGTTCAGGCTGACCTTGAACTCCTGACCTCATTATCCACCCGCCTCAGTCTCCCAAAGTGCTGGGATTACAGTCATGAGCCACCGTGCGTGGCCTCAATTTTTGTATTTTTAGTAGAGACAGGGTTTCACCATGTCGTCCAGGTCAGTCTTGAACTCCGGACCTCATGATCTCCCCCCATCATTCTCCCAAAGTGCTGGGATTATAGGTGTGAGCTATTATCGCACCTGCTGTCTTTACCCACTCTTCTAAGCCACAAAGCATAGCATTGTCCTCAGAGGCGGGATGAGAAGCAGAGAGGCAGGGCTCCTGGGAGGAGCAGGCTGTGGGACCTTGATTGTGCACCACCTGCCAGGCAGACACTGAGGCTAGAAGGCAAGATGTGTGAATGGGGCCAGGGAGGGGGACCAGCCCTCCAAGGTACTCCCCAAAGCACTGTCCATGCACACTCTCAGCAGCACCCCAGGTGATTAATAGACTGTGAGGAGGACCTGGTTAGATCCCCAGGGGTCCTGAGTGAAACAGGACCTCAGCTGAGCTCTGCAGGCTCAGGGGCTAGGGCAGAGAAGGCTGAGCATGCCCCAGGAGGTCTCCACTGGGGCGGGTGAGCAGAAGAAAGAAGAGTCAGAGAGGGCTGGGGCTGGGTATGTGAAGAAGGGCTCCTTTCTGTCCCCGGAGGGGCTGGGGAGTCTTGGGTTCTGGTCCTGGCTCTGCCTCTGCTGTGTGACCTCGTGGCAGTTCCTTCCCTCTCTGGCCTCTATTTTTGTCTGTGTGAAATGAGGAAGTTGGAGTAGACAACCTGCGGCTTCCCGCCCTGACATCCTGCGGGAGGGAGGAGGGATGGTTGGGAGTGTGTGTGGCGGGTTGCCAGGTGGTTTGGGGGTAGTCTGCACATTTCAGGAGCCCTTTACTGGGCGCAGGTCAGCCGGGGAAGTCAAAAGGGCACTGGGTGACAGTGGTGACCCCTCACCAGCTGCTTGCTCAGGCCAGGCACGGTGCTGGGTCCTTAGACACAGTCTCGAAACCTGACAAGCCGCTGGTGAGACAGGACCCCTCCTTATCAGGAGGAAACAGAAGCTGAGAGCTGGACTCACTTAAGCCCTGAGGCTACAGAGGCAGGGGCCATGGGGCTGAGGTTCCTGTCTGGGTCTGCCTGTGGTCTTGGTCATTGAGCCATCAGAGCAGGCGGGAAATTAGCTCCATGGACTCAGGCGTGCAAGAAGCATCGCACTGGATTATTTTTCAGAAATGAGTTTGTGAGAATGGAAGGAAAGTCCAGCTCAGCCATCACTAGGACTGCCCCCTTGCCCTTCTCCACCCTGTCCTGCCTCCCACTCCTGAAGTCCTCGAAGGCCTCAGGAATCTCATGCCAGGGAAGGTCCTGTCTCTGTAGCCCCTCCCCATTCCCCGTCATGACTGGTTTGCTGCTTGGACAGGGCCCTGTGCGCCACCACAGCTCCTAGGCCACCCTTGGGCCTGGGGCCTTTGTCAAGTTTTCAGCTTTCTTAGGTCCCCAGTGCATCCTTATGACTCATACCAAGCTCCTTCCTCCTTTCAGCTGTGAGGGCCCTTCCCTAGGGTCCCCTACATCTGCCTCCCTCCCTCCAAGCCCTCTCCAGAGGCCGGCACTGAAATTAGAAGCAGGAAGGTGGGGTTGTATTCAGGCAACTTCTGCTTTCAGCTGAGTGACCCAGATGTCCCAAGAGAAGGGAACAACGAAGGTTGGGCTGCCTGGTTGGAACTGGGGTCAGGAGAGGCGCACAGTGAGGGTGGGAGGGGAAGGGTCCCAAGAAAGGACCCTGTCCCCTGCGAGGCCCACGGGGCTGCTGCTGTGGGACTGTCTAGCTGGAGAGTGTGCCTGAAACCACTTAACAGTCAGCACAGACCACTCTGATGAAGGCTGGAGAAGAAAAGAGGAGGAGGGGTGGGAAGGGAGAGCTGGGCCTGCCCCTTGGCCTCTGTCCCAGGTGCCTGCAGTCTGCAGCCTCATAGCCTCCCTACACCCCCAGCCCTGATTCTGGCTCCAGGAGTGAGTTCTTGACTCGGGCGGCTAGTGCCTGGTGGATGGTCAGAGGGAACCAGCTCGGGAAGAAAAAGCCTGTATTGACCAGCTCTCTTCTGCTCCAGACTCTGGCAGGGCCTTTCCTTGGCTTGGTGCCCAGCTGCCTGCTTGCCTAGCCTGGTAAACTCTGCATCTGCCCTACTTCACAGGCCGGGGAGGCTGGCAGCATGCCAGGGCCGGGCTCACGTCAGCAGCCACTCAGGGAAGGGAGGGCAGTCTCCAAAGAGCTCCCCAGCCTCATGGGCTGTGGACAGGTGAAATCAGGGCACTGCTGTGCAGAGGGAAGGTGGAGGCTGGGGCCTGTCCCCCACCTGGGAGACCCCCATCCAGAGAACCTGGAAGCTGTCACTCCAACATCTAGGCTCGCTCAGGCTGCCAGAGGTGGGAACCCCACCTTCAATTCCTAGTCTGGGCCCCAGACTGGCTGACGCTGTGCGTATGGCCAGGGCTCCCAAACATGGGTCCATGGGCTACACAAGAGCTTCTAGGGGGCTTTGCCTCCAATTCAGCAGGGTTGGGACGAAGCCCATGAAGCCAGTATTTATTGTTTAAACACTTGAAGCAATTCTGCAGCAATTCTGATTCATGGCTGAGTTTAGGAGTCAGGCTTGGGAAGAGAACCCCAGAGCTGGGTGGGGAGAGGTCTGATGCTCTGTTCCTCTTGTGGCTAATCACCTGTGTGACACGGAGACCTCTGTGTATCTCTGGGTGTCTGTTTCCTCATCAGGGAGCAGCAGTTCTCCTTGTGCCTTCTCAGTAGGATTAGCATGGCGGTGGAACGAGGCTGTGAGATAGCATCTTGTGGGTACCTGCGCTGCATTGTAACTAGGCTCCTAGCCCTGTCCAGTCATCTGGCCAAACCTGCTTCTGGCCTCTAGGAATGCAGAGGAGAGGCTGCAGGTGACTTCTCTCCGTCCGGCCCCCTTCTAGGAACAGTGGCTGGGGCCTGAGCCGGAGATGCTCACAGGAGAATTTTCTTTGTACTCTGGGAGGGGGAGGAAGAAGGAGGTAAGTGGCTTTGCTGTGAGAAGTGTGGCTCCCTAGGGCCAGCACTCACCTCCTCCCTCCAGGTCATGCCGTGACTCTGTTTCATTCAGGTCTCTGTCACTGCGCGGGAAGATGTGCCCACCTTTGGCCCACCTCTGCCGAGTCCCCCTGTTTTCCAGAAGGTAGGATGCTCTTCCTTCTGCTCCGCTCACATCTGCAACACCAGGTCCCAGGGCTTGAGTGGCAGGTTGGGATGGGGCCGACGTCAGGCTGGAAACAGGGAGATCCTTTTGCAAGTTTGGGAGGACCCTCCTTTCTTGGGGTCTCCCCACCTCTTTCATGCTGCCAGTCTGGCCCAGCATAGGACCACTGGTTGGGTTATTTGACACTGAGGTTGCCTTTCTGCTAAAAGAAGGGTTTTTATGTCAAGCCCTGGTCACAGGAGCCTTGGGCAGGAATGATCTCCAGACACAGGGGTGCCACTGAGGCTTCCCAGGACCACGGACACGGGTTTCCATGTTGGCATATTAGCAAGCGGGCTTGGCCTGGGCTAGAAATGACCGGCTACCAGAAGGGACCTTTCGGGGCTCTTCCCACGCCCCCAGCTCCGCCTGCCTGTCCCTTTGGCTGAAGATCTGGCAGCAGCCGAGAGTGGGAGACCTGAGGGCTGTCTTGTCTGTTCCAGGGCGCAGAATTCAGGGAGTTTCTTCTCACCAAGCTCACCAATGCCGAGAATGCCTGCTGCAAGTCAGACAAGTTTGCAAAGCTGGAGGTGAGACTGTGGGTTCTGGAAGGTCTCCTCCTGCCCGCTGGGCCTCCTGTTAGCCTCATCCGGGGATCCTCCATCCTCTTTTTGAGACAGAGTCTTGCTCTGTCGCCAGGCTCGAGTGCAATGGCGTGAACTTGGCTCACTGCAACCTCCACCTCCTGGGTTCAAGCCATTATTTGCCTCAGCCTCCTGAGTAGCTGGGATTATAGGTGTGCGCCATCACGCCTGGCTAATTTTTATAGTATTTTTTTTTTTTTTTTTTGGAGACAGAGTCTCACTCTGTTGCCCAGGCTAGAGTGCAGTGGTGCAGTCTTGGCTCACTGCAACCTCCGCCTCCTGGGTTCAAGTAATTCTCTTGCCTCAGCCTTTAGACTAGCTGGGACTACAGGTGCATGCTGCCATGCCTGGCTAATTTTTTGTATTTTTAGTAGAGGTGTTTTAGTAGGATTTCACCATGTTGCTCAGGCTGGTCGCAAACTCCTGAGCTCAGGCAGTCCACCTGCCTCAGCCTCCCAAAGTGCTGGGATTACAGGCGTGAGCCACCATGCCTGGCCTTATTTTTGTATTGTTAGTAGAGATGGGGTTTCTCCATGTTGGCCCGGCTGGTCTTGAATTCCTGATCTCAGGTGATCCACCTGCCTCAGCCTCCCTTGCTGGGATTATAGGTGTGAGCCACCGTACCCAGCCAGTCAGTCATTTTTAAAGCTCCTACTATATGTCAGGCCCTGTTCTGTTTCCTAGGATATGGGAATGAGTGAGACAGTTTCTGTCCCTCTAGAGCTCACAGGATGGTGGGAGGGGGTCTTTACTAATAGACAATTATAGCACACTGTGCCAGTGCTAGGCTGCGATGGAGGTCAGCACAGCTCAGATAGTGACTACTTCTGCCTGTGGGGGTTTGAGGGTGTGTTTAGAGAAGGCTTCTTGGAGGAGGGGGCCCATGAGCAGCTGAATCTTGAAATTGGATGAACCTTCTACCTGGAGGAAAGATGGGGGAAGGGAGGGTTGACCTGGCATGGGAAACAGCATGAGAAAAGGCCAAGAAAAACCAGAGACCGACTTCCTGAGGGAGCTCCTGAGGGTTTGCTGTGGCCTAAGGACCCATGGGGGCTGGAATGGTGGGAGACACAGCTGGAGATGTTGGTTGGATCGGATCCAGAAGGGCTTAGAGTTGGAGGAGCTAGCACTAGGCTGCTAGCAAAGTGCTTAGTCAGGAGAGTGAGGGGTTCGACGTATATGCCAGAGGGATTGTCTGTCATTGAGAGTGACGGTGGTGACAGGGCAAGAGGTGCAGGAAGGTGGCCAGTTAGAAGCCATTTACCAGAAATCCAGGAGAGATGACAGAGGCTTCTGTTGTATGGGAGGAAATGGTTCCAGTCAGGATTGGGAAGACTTGCTGGACTCCTGGCTGTAAGTGCTGGGGGAAGTGGCATTGGTTGTAGGGTGATTCTTAGGCCTTCGGCCTGGCCTCTTTGATGACACGGTGGCCGAGTTGTGCCTGTGAAGGCCGGATTGCTGAAAGGTCCAGTCCTCATCTGTATGAATGGCAGCCCCTGGCGTCCACGTGCGTGGCTCTGGACGAGCATCTGGATGGAGAAGAGTGGTGGGCAGTTGGGTGCGTGGATGTCAAGGTGGGGCAGAGGCTGACCTGGGACTCACTCTTCCTTCTGCTCCTCTGCCACCGAGGTGGAGCTGTGGCAGTTGTGGGAAGACCTGGGGAGAAGGCCACGGGGAGTAGAGTAGGGGGTCGGGCTCGTAGCTTTCTTCTCAGCTATAGTATTTGTGAGCATGAAGCTCAGCTCAGCTGTAGGTCCATGCTGTGGCTAGGCTGGGCAAAATGCCAATCCCTAGGTCAGGTGTCTGGAGCTCAGGAGGAGAGGGTACATTTCGGCTCTCAGAGCCTACTTCCCCATCCTCACCCTCTTCCCTTCTAGGACCGGACCAGGGCTGCCCTCCTGGACAACCTTCACGACGAGCTCCACGCCCACACGCAGACCATGCTGGGACTGGGCCCAGAGGAGGACAAGTTTGAGAATGGAGGCCACGGGGGATTCCTGGAGTCTTTTAAGGTACGTGCATAAGAGTGACTGACGGTGGCTGTGGCAGGGGTGTGGGGGGCAAAGAAAGGAAGTGGTTCAAGGTCCATGGGATGCTGACCCCAGAGCCCAAGGGCCAGCTAAAGGGGTGACAGGAAAGTACGGGATCCCAGGTGTTTGCAAAGGGCAGGGCCATTAGGAAGTGTGTGAGTCTGGTGCAGCCAACAGCGTCTTCAGCACCTTCTCCATCCTTCCTTCACCTGGGTCATCTCCTCCAGGACTAGGGATCTGACAGGCAGGGACAGGTAGAGAGGTAGCGGTAGGAGAGGATCCAGGGCCGCCTCCTGGGTCGGGGAGCCCAGGGCAGAACGGCAGGAGCGAGGAGTACAGGCCTTAGGGCTCTTCTGGAGCTGGTGGGTGCTGCAGATTCTTCCCAGCTAGCTGGCTGAGCATTGGAAGACCTGGTGGGGCAGGGGGCATGAAACTATAGGCAGGTCCCTGTGGACTTTGCCAGGGGAAAAGCTCTAGAACCAGCTGCTAGAGGAAGCAGTAAGCTCCCTGTCCCTGGAGGTATTCAAGTGATGCTTGGCCAGCCCCCAAGCTGGCATGGGGTAGAGAAGGTTTTTCCATCTTGTGCTTGCTGAGCACTTGCTGGTCCACATGGCACTTAGATCCAGCATGTGGTTTAAGCCTGACATAGCCTGTGTGGGTGGCAGAACAGGTCTTGTTATTTTCACTAACACACATGGGCAGGGTGAGAGATGCCACAGGACTGGCCAGGTCCTCACAGTGATGCAGAGGGAGAGTCTTCTTTCCAATGCAGGTTTTCTGAGTCTTCGATCGGTGTTCTGCTGGACGGCTTGTTAGAGGGTGATTTGGAAAGCTCCCACTGGGGGCCTTATGTGCAGGCTAGGGCTGCACCCACCTAGATTAAAATCCCAGCTCTGTGGGATCCTGGCCACCATCTTTAAAGGCTCTTGAGGTTCATCTTTCTTGTCAACAACGTAAGGATGAGAAGCGGGACCCTGTCATAGAGCCAGCGTGAGTTCAGGGTCTAATGCCTGCAAAGGTCCATATTACCTGAAATGCAGTCAGGCTCAGAAGTGTAGGCTGTCATTATGGCTGTGTAAAGTGAAAGCCTCACACACATTATCCCACCTGAAGACTCACAGCTGCCCTCCATGCTGTGAGGAAGGCTGTTATTTTGGGTATAATAATTCATACTCAGTTTTAATAATTACGGGCATAGTAGTCCATGTGAGGAAAGCAAGCCTGAAAGACACAGAATAATTGTCCCGTCATGGAGCAGGTGGAGTTGAATCCAGGTCTGCTGGATTCCAAAGCCTGAGCTTTCAGTGACTGTGTGATGCCACCCCCCACCTCTGACTCCGATAAGACTCCACCCATGCTAGCCTGGGCCTGGGCAGGCCTGGGTCAGTACCCGCAGAGAGCAGGGCACAGCTCCTCTGGCCCTGTTTGGGGCCAGCTGCCGATTCCTCTTGCGGGTGGGAAAAGGAGCCAAGCTGCTTGTCCAGGCTGGTGGGAGATTCCTGGGGCACCTGTTTTAGTGGTGGTGGGCAGAGGGAGCTGGGTGAAATAGGGGAAATTGGGAGATCAAGACAGAGGACGGCTGAGGAAGAAGAGAAACGGGATTACTGCAGGGGCCTGGTTGGACAGCCCAGTGAGAGACGGTGAATGTGAGATGCGGTAAATGGGAAAACCGGTTGGGTCTGGGGAAGGCAGGAAGGGGCCAGTCAAGCCTTTCACAGACTCTCAACTCTTCCTTCCAGAGTCCACCGGACTCCGTGGCCTGCATATCAAAATGTTCCACATCCCTCTGGAAACGTAATTTATGTAGAACTACCAGAGTTGAGCAGCAGTTGGCGAGCCAACATGATGTTGTATTTTGTAGACATTTAATGAGGTGCTTGTTTTGAGTGTTTCAGATTTCTTTAGGTATTTTGGGGTTAACAGTTGGTTTTTTAGGTTTCAAGTATTTCTGTGTCCTGGAGATGCTCACGGGCTGTGGACACTCTGCACATGGCGCCCAGTGGAGAAGGCGGTCCAGCAGCTAAATACCGGTGGCAGGTTTAAGGAGTGTGGCCTGAGGCTGATTTGTCCAGCCCCTGCCTCTGGCAGGAGTCGCACTTGATCTGTGTTTGACTCCAGGGGTTCTGACGTGTTCCTAGAGGGGTTTACAAGAGAGGAGATGCTTTAAGACTTCATCACGGCTCATCTTTGATCCAATGATCCAGGAAATCCTTTTCAACCCTAAATCTCTGCAATGTTAGGTTGAAGACAGACCTGCTTCTACATTCTGCTTTCACTTCTACCTGGTAGCACCGTGGGGCACAGGAGGGACTGTCACAGTCACACAGAGTAAGCTCAGAGCCCCAATGGTTATGACCAGATTTTTTTTTTTTTTTTTTATGACAGGGTCTCGTTTGTTGCCCAGGCTGGAGTGCAGTGGCATGATCTCAGCTCACTGCAGCCTCCACCTCCCAGGTTCAAGTGATTCTCCTACCTCAGCTTCCTGAGTAGCTGGGATTACAGGTGCCCGCAACCATGCCTGGCTAATTTTTGCATTTTTAATAGAGACAGGGTTTCACCATGTTGGCCAGGCTGGTCTTGAACTCCTGACCTCATGTGATCTGCCCGCCTGGGCCTCCCAAAATGCTGGGATTACAGGCATGAGCCACCCGCCCAGCCATTTGTGGCCAGCTTTTTTCCCTCCCAGCTGGGGATCTAGCTCCTGTTCCCTGTCCCTTTCATTATTACCCCACATCTCCCAAGTGTGGAGGCCTGAGCTGGGGGTAGGCACGCTCAGCCACATGGAGGCCTGGGGCCTGGGGCCTGGGGGGGATTCTGATATTTAGGCCTTGCCTGTGGCCAGGCCTGTGTGTCCGGCCCAGCTCAGGAAACCATCTCTAGTTTTGGCATTTTTTCCTGGGTACCTTGGGTGGTGCTGTTATATCAGCAGGACACTGCTTATGGTGTTCACCCACACCTTCCTGGGATCCTTCTTGAAAGAAGTGATACCTGAAATGATTCCAGAAAGAAAATTGGATGCTTTTACCTCCTCCTGTCAAAGTTCTTTTTCTTAAAAAAATTTTTTGAGATAGAATTTTGCTTTTGTCACCCAGGCCTAGGCTGGAGTGCAGTGGCGCGATCTCAGCTCACTGCAACCTCTGCCTCATGGGCTCAAGCGATTCTCCTGCCTCAGCCTCCCAAGTAGCTGGGATTATAGGTGCCCACCACCATGCCCAGCTAATTTTTGTGTTTTTAGTAGAGATGGGATTTCATGATGTTGGCCAGGCTGGTTTCAAACTCGTAACCTCAGGGATCCACCCGCCTTGGCCTCCCAAAGTGTTAGGATTACAGGCTTGAGCCACTGTGCCCAGCCTCCTTCCTGTCAAAGTTCTCATCTCCCAGGCTGATGGGAACGTAACTGGGAATCCCTAGGGCTGAAAGCCATCTTAGCCATCCATCCTTGCCTCTTGTGGGGCTGTTCTTCCCCCACTTCAGTGCTGACCAAAGCCTTGGTCTTTCTCCCAAGAAGCAGACCCACCGTTGCCCTGTGCCGTGCCACCCAGCACCTCACACCCCTTAGAGCGGCTCCTCACAGCTTGCTTTCATTTTTCTCCCAGGAGACACAGAGCAGTTGGCTTTTGGACATCTAGACCTACTTTTCAAACTGAGCTGCTTGGAGATATTGTCAGCAATCTGCTAGTTCTGCAAACGCTTCTAAAGTTTGCATTTTCATTTAGACCTAAAAAAAAAAAGTCCAGTTTTAGAGTAGATGTTTGCAGTGATCACTCCAATGAAAAGTTGTTCCTGTGGGGTAAACAGGTAGGGCCTGACGTCGGTACTGCAGCTGCCGTCTGGGGGACCCCTGGGGTGGGCGGTCTGTGAGCACATTCTCGGGAGTCTGGCGAGAACATCTTTCATGATAAAGGAGCCGTACTTGGTTCACCTGTGAAAGATGTTGATCTCTAGACTGTTCTCCATTGCCATTCTCAGTCACTACCAGCTGTTGATGAGGCTTTTATGGTCCGTAATGCAGTGGAAAGTGACAGTGCCTGCTGTAGCAACATGGTATGGCATAGAGCACATGCATGCCACGTTGTGAGAAACACTGAGCTTGCCCAGTCCTCCACTGCCCTCCTCGAGCAGAGTGGGAGCGGAGGACCAGGGAGAAGAAGGCTGCCGGGCTGGCTGTGACAGAGCCGGGGCCTTGGCAAGCAGGGAGCTGCTGGGTTCATTTCTCCCAGCCTTTGAGGGACTGTGATAGTTGATACCTTGGTCTCACCTGACCCCTAGTGGCAGGAAAGGCTGCAGCGATCCCTGGCTGTCTTTGGCCCCGCTGTACCTGCAGGGAGGTACCTGTAGTCAGGTCTCCCTAGCAGTGCCAGTGATGGCGGGTGGAGCCCAGCAGGGCCCTGTGCAGAGTCCTTGGCCTTTGGCATCTTTGCCCCTCCTTTTCCTCCTGACAGGGAGCTGCGATGTCAGGATGGCCCCCTGTTTTGGGAGTCCACGAGAGTGCCCAGGCCTTGCGCTTGGCCCCGCTCCACTCCTGGGTTGGAGCCATGGTCTCCTGGAGCAGAGTTGGCGTCTGTCCTGCATTTGCCACCCTAGAGGGATAGAGTGCTGACTCCTCACGCTTACCCAGCCCGTCGTCTCCTCATTACCTTGCTGACTCCGGCGGCTGCACCAGGACTATTTGAGGAGCCAGTGTCCCCTGAAGCCAGCCTCTGAGATTTTTATTTTTTGGTGGAGGCCTTGAAAATTCTTGGTTTCTTTTTTTTTTTTTTTTTGGGAGACAGAGTTTCACTTTTGTCGCCCAGGCTGGAGTGCAATGGCACGATCTTGGCTCACTGCAACCTCTGCCTCCTGGGTTCAAGCAATTCTCCTGCCTCAGCCTCCTGAGTAGCTGGGATTACAGCCATGCACTACCACACCCAGATAATTTTGTATTTTTAGTAGAGACGGGGTTTCTCCATGTTGGCCAGGCTGGTCTCGAACTCCTGACCTCAGGTGATCTGCCTGTCTTGTTCTCCCAAAGTGCTAGGATTATAGTTGTAAGCCACCGTGCCTGGCTACCTCTGAGATATTTTTTGTGTGTAGGGGGGCCTTGAAAATTCTTGGTTTCTAGTCATCCTTAGGTCATCCAGCAGTTGAATTGTGTTTTCAATCTGGACCATTTTTTAGTACACAGGGACCCTTTGATCTGGAGTCCAGGGTCCTGGTTTTGGATCCTGGGTCCATCTCTTAACTGCTCTGTGGCTTTTCAAAACCTTTTCTGTCCAATGCCTGTCCTCTCTGCATCTCAAAGTTGTAGAAATTCAAAAGAGCATGTATGCGAAGCTCATTAGCCCAGATACTGTTACACAGGAGCGATTCTATCCCACATGGATTCCTTTCTGGGAAAGAGACAGGGAGGAATACAGTCACATGTTGCCCGCTGACGGGAATACGTTCTAAGAAATGCATGCTTGGCGTTTGGTCATTATGTGAACAGCAGGGTATACGCAGACCTGGATGCTCTAGCCTGCTACACACATTGGTAGAGAGCAGGTGGCCGCCAGGCTATTTCCCTGTGCTACAAATTCCTGCGTGAATATTGTAGGCATTTGTGTATCTGGACATCTAAATACAGAGAAGTGGTACAGTAAAAATACCGTGTTAGAATCTGAATAGGACCTATTTCGTATCTGTGGTCTGCTGTTGACTGCAGTGTCATGGTGTGGCATCTGACTGTGTATCAGAAGGTCCGTAATTAGTTTGAAATGTCATTGATGATGGTGGTGGCAACACACAAGGGCACCAAGAGAATGTAAAGATGCTGAGTTTTTGTTGTTGTTGTTTGTTTTTGTTTTTTTTTAAGATTCTCATTCTGTCGCCCAGGCTGGAATGCAGTGGTGCAATCTGGGCTCACCACAACCTCCACCTCCCAGGTTCAAGTTATTCTCCTGCCTCAGCTTCCCAAGTAGCTGGGACTACAGGCACATACCACCATGCCCAGCTAATTTTTGTATTTTTTAGTAGAGATGGGGTTTTACCATGTTGGCCAGGCTGGTCTCAAACTCCTGACCTCAGGTGATCCACCTGCCTCGGACTCCCAAAGTGCTGGGATTATAGGTGTGAGCCACCACGCCCGGCTGATGGGCGATTGGTGCTCCATAAATGCTGAGATTTATTAACTTGTTCAAGGAACCTTGCTGCAGCCAGGCAATGGTGGCTCACACCTGTAATCAGTCCCAGCACTTTGGGAGGCCAAGGCAGGAAGATGACTGGAGCCCAGGAGTTTGAGACCAGCCTGGGCAACACAGGGAGACCCTGTCGCTATTTATTTATTTATTTTGAAAAAGGAAGCTCACTGCTCCTCCAAGGACATCTCAGTGTGCCATCACCCCTGTCCTGCCCTCGGTTGTTCAAAGGGCACATGGCTTTATGATGCTTGTGTTACAGGGTGAAGACAATGTGCTGACTGCTTTTGCCGTGCAGCAGGAAACCGTGGCTAGGAGACTCTGTTCTGGGTCTAGGGAGGGAGTGACAGATGGTGTCCCTCAAGGGGTGTCTTTGGCTCATATAAGAGAGGCCTGATCAAATCAGGACTGTGAAGCTGGTGGGCTCTGCACCTCAACGTCAGAAGCTCATTTGGGGCTGTCAGGTTTACAAATGGCCTTCCTGAGTCTGTGTCCCTTGTCAGGAGAGAAAAGCAGGTGGGATGGGGTTCTCCGCCCTTCCCAAGCCTGGAAAAGTCCTGGCTTGAGAGGCCCTGGGGAGACCTGCTGTTTGGGTTAGGAGCAGCAGGCCTGGTGTTTTCTTGGGACCACTTTCCTGCGACCGAGCTCTTCTTAAGATGCCTCAAAAGGGAAAGGGAGTTGTTCTTCCACATGAGGCCATCTGTGGTTACACATGGGGCGTGTGAGAAAAAACATTTGTATGTGCATGGGTGTGAATACAGAGGGGAAGGGAGCGTGGCCCATGCCTTCATCTTTTTGCACAGCTTTCTGAAGCTGGAGTTCTGAGAGTACCCTCCCTCAACAAGCTTGCACTACGATAAGGAAAATCCATAAGCTCGTATACAAGTTCTGAGAGCACCCCCCACCCGACCAGCTCACACTATGATAAGGAAATCCATGAGCTCGTGTACAAGGAGGCCCAGCTGACTCGTGGCTCAGTCAGCAGCTCTCCCTAGCTTGTCAGCTTTGTCCTCATGCTCGGCCTCTCATTGTCCTGGTTTTACTGCCGACCTGTGAAATCTCTTTTGATGTGAAAGGGAGTCATTGAGAATACCTTTCTCCAAAGCCCCCACAGATATTCCCTCCTGTGCCACTGGCAAGAGGGTAGGTTAACTGACTGCCTTGGGCTGCTTGTGACTGAATCCTGCGTCCCACAGAGGAGGAGGGGACGTTCGGCCAGACCCTGGCTCTGCCAGCGGGGAGCTCAGGGAGCAGAGGGGTTGGTACTTGTATGTGAGCAATGGATAGTATTCCTGTCTGGGAGTCTTTGCCCTTGGGGAAGGCTGGACACCTAATTAACACAGAAGGAGCACCCATTGGCCCAGCATCTTCTAGCATTGCCTCAATGATGGGAATTCCTTGGAGGCAGGGTCTGTATCCTGCACTTCTCGACCTTACTGCTGTGGCTCTCCGGTTCCTGGCACAGTGCTAGGCACTTGGGAAGCCTGCAACAGTGCTTTTTTTTTTTTGAGACGGAGTCTTGTTTTGTCACCAGGCTGGAGTACAGTGGCGAGATCTTGGCTCACTGTAACCTCTGCCTCCTAGGTTCAAGTAATTCTCCTGCCTCAGCCTCCTGAGTAGCTTGGACTACAGGCACACACCACCGTGCCTGGCTAGTATTTTGTATTTTAGTAGAGATGGGGTTTTACCATGTTAGTCAGGATGGTCTCGATCTCCTGACCTCAGGTGATCTGCCCGCCTTGGCTTCCCAAATGCTGGGATTACAGGCATGAGCCACCGTGCCTGTGTGCTTATTACCAGGAAGAGTAGCCACATGTATTGGATAGTTGCGATGTTCTGGGCGTTCTCCTCAGAGCTTTGTGTGTATTCTCACAACAACCCCCTGGCGTAGACACCAACATCTCTTTCCCTGGTAAGTCTCAGAGAAGCTCAGTAACCTAACGGGGCATACTCAGCCAGTGGGTGCTGGAGTAGAGCCCAGATACAAATCCTGGCGGTGAAACACTAAAGCCTCCGTGCTCCTAAGTTTCATTGCTGCCTGGTCAGATCGAGTGACTGGTTGAATGACTGGTTTGGGGGTTACTTTAGAGAACCTTCACTCCCTAGAACTCTCACATCATCTTTGAGGGCCTTTGGAGCCAGAGAGAGTATCATCCAGGGGGCAACCGAAGCCCCTAGGACTTCCTTGTGAGGAAATCCTCCCTGAGGTCTCCACTGTAACACTCCCCTTCCCATCCAGAGCAGTCTGAGGGTGTTGTCACTTCCCGGGTCCACCCCTTTCGTGGCTCCATGATCTTGTTTTTTAGCTGCTCTTCTCACTCTCATACGCACTTTGACAAAGCCCTGACCGCCCTGGTGGCCCTCTCCTGGGGACTGCACCATTTGCCAATGTGGTCTTGCTCCTGAGTGGCCTGAGCAGCTCCGGGCCCCCCCGAGACCCTGGCTGCATCAAACCATGGGCCGTAACGAAGGTGTGCCTGACGCCCCTGCAAGTGGGAGGGGTTGCTCAGTGCCTGGCTCAATGCACAGATGAGTAAGAGACCCTCACGCACTTTCACCAACGGCCAGCGTGTTCCAAGTTGCACCAATCACACTTTGGGATATAATCCAGTGCATATTATAGATGGAGGCTCAAGTTTTCTGGAAAAGAGTCAACTTGTGGTCAGGCACCTGGGTGTGTTGAATCCCCACCATGATCCTGCGTGAAACACAGAATTTCCATTTGACAGATGAGGAAATTAGAGAGGCTGGGAGCTAGGCCAGTGTCGTACAGGTTGGTTGAGCTCCCAAGCCTCATTTTCCTGACCTGTAAGATGAAGATAACCTTTGTCCATCCTGCAGGGGAGCTGGGGACTGACCCCTCAGATTCCCTCCAGCCACGGCCACGCCTTGCCTCTAGCTGGGCCCAGAGTATGGGGCAGAATGTGGGAACATCCTCTGTAAGCTGGAGTAGCTGTAGTATGGGCCTCTGTGACCGTGTGTGTGTGTGTGTGTGTGTGCGCGCGCGCGCGCACACGCGTGTGCACACACATGCTGACGGCTGTGTCTACAGACTCCAGGAAGAGGGCAGGGTCATCCAGAGAGCCCAGATGCCGATTCCCCAGCCCTCGTTCTCTCTGTAGAGGGCCATCCGTGTGCGCAGCCACTCCATGGAGACCATGGTGGGCGGCCAGAAGAAGTCACATGGCGGAGGCATCCCCGGCAGCCTCAGCGGTGGCATCTCCCACAACAGCATGGAGGTCACCAAGACCACCTTCTCGGTGAGTGGCCCTGGGGCAGCAGGTGGGTCCCAGGGAGGCTCCCCGAGACCAATGGAGGTAGGGTGCCCCCACCCAGGCTTGGGCAGATGACTTGATCAGGGCAAGCTGGATGATGGAGGGAAACTGAGGCTGCTAGGGGGTGACTCTGGGCCCTGACCTCTGAAAATGGTCCTTTGGTGCCTCCATCCTAGACAGCACCTGGGTTGCCACAATGGCCTGAGAAGCCCTCCTGTCCTATGTGCTGAGTTTCCTTGACAGCTAGACTCCTCCTCTGGGCCCGCCCTGCAAAATGGTCCTGAGGTGTGTTTCGCTGCGCAGGGCCTTGGGACCCGTGACTGTGAGGGGGTGTCCTTGCTTTGTTATTACTGGTGCCAGCAGTAGCTGCCCCAGCTGGATCCAAAATCTATGCTCTTCATCACCATGTACACAGTTCCCAAGGAAAGAGCGTCCTGTAGGCCTATGAGTTTGATCCTGATGGACTTGCAGGGGCTGGGGGGTTGGAGGGGATCACATAGTTGGGTCTTTCATAAAGCAAAGTGGGCCGGGCGTGGTGGCTCACACCTGAAATCCTGGTACTTTTGGATCCCTTGAGTCCAGAAATTCGAGACCAGCCTGGGCAACAAAGCGAGACCCTGTGTCTACAAAACAACACAAAAATTAGCTGAGCACGGTGTCACACACCTATAGTCTTAGCAACTTGGGAGACTGAGGTGGAAGGATCACTTCTACCTAGGGAGGTCGAGGCTCTAGTGAGCTGTGATTGGGCCACTGCACTCCAGCCTGGGTGTCAGAGCGAGACCCTCTCTCAAAAATAAACTAAAGCAAAGTGGCTTTGGATTTGTATAGACTGGGATTTTCCTTTCTTTTTCTTCAAAATAGCAGAACCTACTCACCATGGTACTAATTATGATTATTATAAATGGCCTTGCATAATTAATTTAATTGAGTAAATATTTTCCTAGCTATTATGCTGTTAACCCTGAGGGTGCGTGGAGTGAGCAGGGCAGGGCCCTACCTCCATGCTGTATATCAGGAGACTCGGGCCGGGTCTCACCACTCTCCTGAGGTTGCATAGCATGTACATGGCAGGAGCTGGGGCCTGGGTTGCAGGCTTGGTGGCCTCTGAAGATTGGTTCCAGGCTCCTGTGTGTCTTCCTCAAGCTCCCACCACACGTTGTCCACTGTGAGGCTGGGGGAAACTGTCCAGAGCAGAAGCCGTCTGGCTGCCCCCAGCCGCCTGCCAGTGCCTGTGGACCTGGCCTCACGGCTCTCAGTCTCATTACTGTGACACCTGCTGGGCCCCGTTTGTTGTAAGGAATGAAGGAGAGTCAGGAGGCCTCACCTGCCAGTGATTTGCTGGATGACCTTGATGCAGTCTCACTATTTGGTCTTCAGCCTTCTCGCCCATAAAATGAGAGGTTGAACAAGGTCCCTCCGGGGTTTCCCTGGCTCTGTGCCTCTTGGTCTGTAACCCCCTGAATTGTTCTGACCGTCTTAGTGTCTAGGGCTTCCTCACCCCGTGTTCCTCCAAAGTTATGGAGGGGTTTTTTGGTTTTTTTTTTTTTTTTTGAGACAAGGTCTTTTTTATGCCCAGGTTGGAGTCCAGTGGTGTGATCTCAGCTCACTGCAACCTCTGCCTCCTGGGTTCAATTGATTCTCCTGCCTCAGCCTACTGAGTAGGTGGGATCACAGGCACCTGCTACCACACCCAGTTAATTTTTGTATTTTTAGTAGAGACAGGGTTTCGCCGTGTTAGCGAGGCTGGTCTCAAACTCCTGACCTCATGATCCACCTGCCTTGGTTTCCCAAAGTGCTGGGATGACAGGCGTGAGCCTTGGCACTTGCCAGTTGTGGTCTTTGGTGGATCATTACCTGGGGCCACGAGGTTTGGCTTCACACAGGGAAAGTGGCTGTTACTAGCCTGAGTCTTGAGGTCTCAGCTCCAATTATAGATCTCAGCCTTCCTAGCTGTACTGCTATTTTCTGGGGTCTCCTCCAGAGCAGGAGCCATTTGTAGACCAGGGAGGGGGATGAAGGGATAGATCGGTGTTTGGGCCGAGAGCACTCATTTTGGCGATTTCATCAGCAGCCTCCAGTGGTGGCAGCAACTGCGAAGAACCAGTCACGGAGTCCCATCAAGCGGCGGTCGGGGCTCTTCCCCCGCCTGCACACGGGCTCGGAAGGCCAGGGGGACAGCCGGGCACGATGGTAACTGTTGGGAAACCTCTACTCCAGCCTGAATCATGGGGTCTGTCAACCCTCTCCACTGTACAGTGTTCAGTGCCCAACCTTGGGGGAGGAGCTTTGCCCAGATGGCCCTGATTTCAGGCACCTGCGTGTCCCCTGTCACTCACGCAGCTCTTTATCCAGAGGCTGACGGTGCCAGTCTCCAAATGGGGCTTTCCAGAGTTATTCTTGCAGCATTTCGACCCAGGCTAGAGACATTGCTGGGTTCCTGTTCCTTTGCCTCCTTTTTCAATGCTCACTCCAAAGGCCTGTCTTGTGGGAACCTTCCCTGATTCTGCCAGGCAGAGTTCCTTGCACCTTCCTTTAGACTTCTAAAAGGTTCTGGGCTTTTTTCTTTTTAAGCAACTCATATATTACATTTAACCTGTTCTGATTCTTTAAAAAACAACACATAGTACTTGCACATTTTTGGGGGGTGCATGTGATCTTTTCATAAAATGCATAATGGTCAAATCAAGGTAATGGAACTATCCATCACCTCAAACATTTATCTTTTGTGTCAGGAACATTCCAGCTCTTTTCTAGCTCTTTTGAACTATGAAAACTATTACTATCAACTATTGTCTCTGTATTATATTATTGAACACTAGATTGTATTTCTTCTAACTGACTGTATTTTTGTATCCATTAACCAACTTCTCTTCATCCTGCCCTCCCACCCCTTCCCAGCCTCTGGTGACACCAGTCAACTCTCTGTCTCCACAAGATTCACTTTTTCAGCTCCCACAAATGAGTGAGAACATGCAATATTTGTCTTTTTTTTTTTTTCGAGACAGAGTCTTGCTCTGTCGCCCAGGCTACAGTGCAGTGGCGTGATCTCAGCTCACTGTAACCGCTGCCTTCTGAGTTGAAGCAATTCTCCTGTCTCAGTCTCCTTGAGTAGCTGGGACTACAGCTGTGCACCACCACATCTGGCTAATTTTTGTATTTTTAGTAGAGACAGAGTTTCCCCATGTTGGCTAGGCTGGTCTTGAATTCCTGATATCAAGTGATCCACCCACTTTGGCCTCCCAAAGTGCTGGGATTACAGGTGTGAGCCACCATGCCCGGCCACGATATTTATCTTTATATGTCTGGCTTTCACTTAACATAATGACCTCCACTTCCACCCATGTTGCTGCAAATGACAGGATTGCATTCTTTTTCCGTGGCTGAATAGCATCTGTTGTGTATGTCCACAACATTTTCCTCATCCCTTTATCCGCTGATGGACACTGAGGGTGATTGTGTACCTTGGCTATGGTGAGTAGAGCTGCAATAAACATGGGAGTGTAGATATCTCTTCCACCTACTGATTTCCTTTCTTTTGGATATAGTTACCCTGCCGTGGGATTGCTAGATCATACGGTAGCTCCATTTTTAGTGTTTTGAGGACCCTCCATGCTGTTTTCCATAGAGGCTGTGCTATTTACATTCCCACCAACACTGCAAGCATTTCCCTTTCTCTGCATCCTCACCAGCATTCGTGATTTCCTGTCTTTTTAATAAAAGCCATTTTAACTGGGGTGAGATGATATCTCATTCTGGTTCCTGTGGTGGGGGTAGATGTCACAGACTCTGAATTATTAAAGACAAATAGTAACAGATGTCAGAGAGGATGCGGAGAAATCGGAACCCTTTTTCATTGCTGGTAGGAATGTAAAATAGTGCAACTACCTCGGAAAACAGTCTGACAGTTCCTTAGAAGGTTAAACGTAGTTACTGTGTAACCAACAATTCCACTCCTACGTGTCTTCCCAAGAGAGTTGAAAACAACTGTCCATGAAAAAAAAATGTACATTTACATTTCCTTGATAATTAGTGATGTTGAATGTTTTTTGATATACCTGTTGACTATCTGTATGTCTTCTTTTGAGAAATATCTATTCATATTTCTTGCCCTTTAAAAAATCGTGTTATTTGTGTTTTTGCTATTGATTTTTTTGAGTTCCTCATAATATATTCAGGTTATTAATCCTTGTTGGATGGATAGTTTGCAAATATTTCCTCCTATTCTGCAGATTGGCTCTTGGTTGATTGTTTCCTTTGCTGTGCAGAAGCTTTTCAACTTGTTGTAATCCCATTTGTCTATTTTTGATTTTGTTGTCTGTGCTTTTGAGGTCTTACCTGAAAAGCTTTTGCCCAGACAGACCAACATCCTGAAGCATTTCCCCAGTGTTTTCTTCTAGGAGTTTCTTTGTGTCAAGCCTTAGATTTAATCCATTTTGATTTGATTTTTATGTATGGTGAGAGAGAAGGGTCTAGTTTTAATCTTTTGCATATGGTTATCTAGTTTTACCAGCACCACTTACTGAAGAGACTGCCCTTTCCCAATGTATATTCTCAGCACCTTTGTTGAAAATGAAATGATCATGTGGATTTTGTTCTGTATTATTAATGTGATGTATCACATTTGTTGATTTGTGGATGTTGAACCATCCTTGCATCCCTGGAATGAATCCCACTTGATCATGGTGAATGATTTTTTTGATGCATTGTTGAATTCTGTTTGATAATATTTTGCTGAGGATTTTTGCATCTGTGTTTATCAGGAATATTGGCTTGTAACACTCTCTTTGTTGTATACTTGTATGGTTTTATGTCTTTCTGATTCTTTAGTTGGTGAGCCCATTTGTTCTTTATTTCAGCAAGCAGCATTTCTTGAGTACCATGTGCTGGGTACAGTGCTGAGTGCTCAGACAAGTGCTGCAAAAACATGCAAGCCTGTCCTTCAGAAGCTCACAGTCTTGTAAGGGAAAGGGAGGCATTTGGTTGACTTCCAGATTCCCAGGTTGTCTGCCTATAGCCCTGGGCAGTGGCACCATGTTCTGAAGTAGGGCTTGCAGGGCAAGAGGCAGGGTTATGGAGAAGGATGAAAAGCTCTGTTTGGAACCTGTGCATGGGAGTTTTTGTGAACCATCAGTAGAGATGTCCAGGGAGTGGTCAGAGTTGTAGGTTTTTATTTTATTTTATTTGTTTTTATATACTTTAAGTTCTGTGCAGAATGTGCAGGTTTGTTACATAGAAATACATGTGCCATGGTGATTTGCTGTACTCAGCAACCCGTCATCTAGGTTTTAAGCCCCGCATGCATTAGGTATTTCTCCTATTGCTCTCTCCTTCTCCTTGTCCCCAACCCCCCGACAGGCCCTGGTGTGTGATGTTCCCCTCCCTGTGTCCATGTGTTCTCATTGTTCAACTCCCACTTATGAGTGAGACCATGTGGTGTTTGGTTTTCTGTTCTTGTGTTAGTCTGCTGACGATGATGGTTTCCAGCTTCATCCATGTCCTTGCAAAGGACATGAACTCATTCTTTTCTGTGGCCGCATAGTATTCCACGTTGTATGAGAGGCCTTGACTAGAGAAGGAGAGTTGGGAATCAATAGGGTAGAGGTACTCGTTGACGTTGGCCTAATCAATGTGACCACTGGAGAGGCTGAGTAGAGTACCACATTTAAGGGCAGGTGGAGAAGGGAAGCTGGTGAAGCTGACTGGGAAGGAAAGATGAGAGGAGAGGAGGAGGAGATGGAATCTCTGAAGCCGAAGGAGGAGAAATTCCAGGAAGGGAGGACATCTGTGTCAGACATGCAGAGATGTCCGGCCCAGTGACCCAAACCCTGCACAGGTTGACAGGAGGTTATTAGCAACCTCATCAAAGGTGCATTGAGACACTTCACACCTCTAGCATGGCTTTAATCAAAAAGACAAATAATAGATGTTAGGAGGATATGGAGAAATGGGAACCCTTGCTCATTGCTGGTGGAAGTGTAACACAGTGCAGCTACTGTGGAAAACAGTCTGGCAGTTCCTTAGAAGGTTAAACATAGAGTTACCATATGACCAAGCAAACCCGCTCCTATGTATATACCCAAGAGAGTGAGAACAGTGGGCCATGAAAAACCGAGTCTACCAATACAGCTAGTACCCAGATGTTCATGGCAGCATTACTCATCCTAGCCCAAACTGGAAAGAATCCAAATGTCCATCATCTGGTCGATGGATAAACAAAATGCGATCTAGCCATAAAATGGATTATTATTAGAATCAAAAGGAATAAAGTGCGGATACAGGCTACAATATTGGCGCATAAGTGAACCTTGAAAACACTGAGTTTAAGAAGCCAGACAAAAATGCCACATTATATGATTCTATTTACATGGCTGTCCAGAAGAGGCCAGTCTACAGTGGTGGCTTAGGGATCAGGTGGGAGTTGCGGGAAGAGGAATAGGAAGTGATTACAGATGGCTCCAGGGTTTCCTTTAGGGGCCAAACGTGTTCTAAAATCAGATGGTGGTGATAGTTGCACAACTCTGAATATACTAAAAGCCATTACACTGTACACTTTAAATAGGTGAGTTCTGTGGTACATAGATTCTGTTTCAACAACACTACATTGATGGCAGGTGCAGTGGCTCACGCCTGTAATCTCAGAACTCTGGGAGGCCGAGGTAGGCAGGTCACTCGAAGTCAGGAGTTCAAGACCAGCCTGGCCACATGGTGAAACCCTGTCTCGACTAAAAATACAAAAATTAGCCAGGCGTGGTCACACATGTGTGTAATTCCAGCTACTCGGGAGGCTGAAGCAGGAGAATCGCTTGAACCTGGGAGGCAGAGGTTGCAGTGAGCCAAGATCATGCCACTGCATTCCAGCCTGGGTGATAGAACGAGGCTCCATCTCAAAAACCAGTGCATTGAGGACACGGCCATCCTGTCCCACACAGAGCGCACTGTGGGCACTGTCCATGGTCTTTGTTAGACTATAGGAGAAGGAAACTCTTGGCTGAGAGTACCCTTGCTTCCCAGCTCCCAGGGCAGCCTCCTCATGTGGATCCAGGAGCGTATTCTTGTCTGTATGAAGGGCGGCCTCCTGGGACCTCCTGGGAGTCCATGTGTCTTGGGTGGTTCCTGCGGTGGGGGCGGATGTCACAGACTTCGCCATATTTCCTGCTGCATTCCCCACGGGGCCCTCTCTTGACCCATAACTTGGCCAGGTGTAAGGCCACAGCATGGGTGAGAGAGATCTGGGCTAGAGGCCATCAAGCCAGGACCCCAGTTTGGCAGCTCTGGACTTGACCATGAACCTAGAGTAACCCTGTAGTGTAGGGATCAGGAAACCCTGCCGTGTGCTGCCATCTCTGGGGCCTCAGGTGGGAAAGGACATCTTGGCAGTGGTGCTTGGTGGGGCGTTTGACCCCATAGCCCCCTACAATGCTGGTTGCCGGCTGGCAGAGGCTCTGCCTGGGGCCAGGGATGGGGCACGGGTGGAGGCTGCCTCCACGGCCTCAGTCCTCATTTCTGTGCCCTCAGTGACAGTGTATCCAGCACGCCCAAGACCCCAGATGGCGGACACTCTTCTCAGGAGATAAAGTCTGAGACCTCATCCAATCCCAGCTCTCCGGAAATCTGCCCCAACAAGGAGAAGTAAGAGACTGAGGGTGAGGGAAAGGCTGGCTTTGGCCCAGAGCCCTGGAACACACTCTCTGCCTCTTGGCTGGCTGAGAGTGACCATCTCCTGCCTCTGGAACTCTCCAGAACACATAGGCTGATGGGTGGGGTCGTGGGCAGCCACCAGAGGATAGGCTCAGATCTCCACGGGGGCTGCCCTGTCCAATCCCAGGAGGACCCGGGGGTGGAGGGCTCTCGCGTGCCACCAGGGCCAGCTTTGCTTCCTGTTCCCTGCAGGCCCTTTATGAAGTTGAAGGAGAATGGCCGTGACATCTCCCGCTCCTCCTCCAGCACCAGCAGTGTCAGCAGCACCGCTGGGGAGGGCGAGGCCATGGAGGAGGGCGACAGTGGGGTAGGTGTGCCTGTCTACCCTTGGGCAGGCACTCTGGGTGCTGTCCAGCCACCCTCCTTGCATTAGAGGCACTGTGGATCGAGCCCACTCCAGTCTTTGCAGAGGAAAGGGGAAGAATGGAAACGAGAGGTGGGCTCATTGGCCATCACCACCCCCTGGGCACTGTGGGTGAGGGGGTCCCTCTCAGAGTGACATGGCAGCAGCAGCAGAGGACAGGGGTCAGACCTGATGGTGCCCCTGCCTTGGGGCTCCTGGCTGGAGTGCTGAGTGGCTAGTGCTGGCCCAGGAGGCTGGGTCAAAGGAAAGCTTGGAGCAGGAAAGCTTAGAACCAGGGTTGAAGTCAGCAGGAAAGAAAAGAGTAGGTGGGGAGTGGGAGGCAGTGGCCGTTCTGGGCTTGTGGGTGCTATCTCAGACCTGTGTAATGTGGCTACCGAGGGTGGGCTGACCTCACTCACCCGGCCTCTCTCCTCAGAGCAGCCAGCCGTCCACGTCACCCTTCAAGCAAGAGGTGTTTGTCTACAGCCCATCCACGAGCAGCGAGAGCCCCAGCCTGGGAGCAGCTGCTACCCCGATCATCATGAGCCGGAGTCCCACAGGTCAGTGGCATGGGTGGTGTGTGTGACATCACCAGGAGGGCAGGCTGTGCCCTGTCCACAGTTGGCCACCCACACCAAATTATCTGGTCTTCAGCCCTCCTCCCCACTGTGAGGGCCCCACTCTGCGAGCTCTCTCCATCTGTTCATCAGCCTTCACAGCCTAAGTTCCTAACCTCCCTACACAGAGAGTGTGAAACTGAGGCACAGAGAGGTGAAAGCCTTGCAGGAGACCCCGTGGGAATTCACTCAGGGCAGTGGCAAAAATACTAAGGGATAAATAATAGAGAAAGTTACAGAATATAATCTCAAACCCTTTTGGAAGGCCTAAAGGTTTTTTCATAGTTTCAGTAGAAGTTTCAGCTGAAGGCAGCCTAAATCCCCCTTACATTGAGTTAATAAGTAAAGCAAATAGCCACGGTATGTGGGGGAGTTTACCTAACTAACTTGTTTACTCATGTGGTCTTAAAACTAACCTTTGAGCCAGATGGTGCTCTCGGGGAGGTTGATCAAGATATCCACTAATGGTGTTTGCTTTGGGTGTCGGAATCTGTGCTTTAATCTTCACTCTAGTGGTGTTGACCCAAGCCTTTCTCAACTAAACTTTACTAAATAAATGCAAGTCTTTCTAGTTAGTGAGGGCCGGCAGTTGCAACTGTTTACAGCACTCTACAGGGTGCCTGTAAGCCACAGGGACCCTCAGCCAAACTGGCAAAGCGTAATAATCTGTGTGTCAGTGCTGTGACCTGACGGTGCCCCTGCCCTGGGGCTCCTGTCATCTGTCGCTGGGTCAGAGTCTGCAGGACGGACCCCCACAGGTAGTTGCCCTGATGAGATCCCATAGTGGAGGAGTCGGGATTGGTGATGAGGAAGCTGACTTGCCACTGGCCACCCTTCCCGCCTGCCGGCACTCGAGGGTCCCTCTGTCCTGGTCGGGGTCCTGATAACACAAGAGGGGGAAGGGCTGCAGGGGAGGGAACAGTAGGTGGAAAGGCCCAGAGGTGAGGAGAGAGCAGGCATTCTGGACCTGCACATGGTTCACAGCAGCTAGAGTCTACAGAGCCAGGCAGGAGACAGGCTTGAGCGTTGGCAGGCCAGGGTCATCCCCAAGACCCTGGTGAGGATTTGTTCTCTGGCTGGAAGCTGCTGTTGGAGACTCTTCAGTATTTGAAGACTCTTAAGTAGGGAAGCACCGTCTGGAGTTGAGAAAGACCAGTTTGTTGCTGCAGCTGCTTGGTGGAGAATGGGTTAGTGGGGAGCAGGAACAGAGAGGAAGGAGGAGAGGGGATGGGAGGGGAACCGGGCTGTGGCAGAGTGCCAGGGTTCGGGAGGTACCAAGGAGATACAATGTAGGGGCTCAGTAGCAGGGCTTCAGCGAGAGCAGGAGTCTGGATTTGGGGTTCTGTGATCCCTGGAGCTGGGCAGAGTAGGTTAGCCAGCTCTGGGGAGAAGGTGGGGGGCCAGCATCTGGGAGCTGCGTGGGGGCACTGCTGGGCGGGTGCTATGGGTTCCTGCTCTCATGAGGGCGGCTGAGCATGGAGTGAGCACAGGACTCTGAGCCTGGGTCCAACTCTTGGGTCTGCTGCTCACTAGACATGATACTGGGCAAGTCACCGAGCCATTCTGTGACTCAGTTTCTCTCCAAGCAAAAAATGAAGGGAGGGGAATAGTAGTGTCTGCCTCCGACGGCTGGTTGTATGAAGATTAAAGGTGCTCATGCTTGTAAGAGGCACAGAACTGGTAACCTCAGCATTTGTTAAGGAGTGGGAACGAGACAGGGCAGTCTTGCTCTCCTTTGGAGGTCTGGCAATGTCTAGACACATTTTTTATTTTCACAATTTAGGAAGGGTGCTACTGGCATCTAGTGGGCAGAGGTCAGAGAAGCAGCTGAGCAATGTACATGTCAGCCCGCAACCACATTAGCCAAAGAATTCTCCGGCCTCTAATGTCATTTGGTTGAGAAACTCTAGTCTCAATGATAGAGACACAGGAAGGGCCAATGGGCCATCAGGGTGGCTGAAGCCAAAATATTCCTGGGGTCTGTATGGTGAAGGGGTGTTGCAAAGAGAACCTGCAGTGTCAGAGATAAAGGGAAGATGGTGATTCCACAGCTAGTGGCCCTCTGCCCTTGTGTTTCTCAGTGAGTGGAGGTCACATGCCTCCTCTCATTCAGCCCCCTGAGGTCGGGCAGCTGCAGAGCTGGGTTTGAATCCCAGTTGTGGGATTGACAGGTCCACCTCTCTGAGCCTCAGCTGTAAAGGGGGGTAGTAATACAAATTCCCTGGATTTTTTTTTTTTAATTAAGGCCGGCACGGTGGCTCACAACTGTAATCTCAGCACTTTGCGAAGCCAAGGCAGGTGGATCATGAGGTCAGGAGTTCAAGACCAGCCTGGCCAAGATAGTGAAACCTCATCTCTACCAAAAATTCAAAAAATTAGCTGGGCGTGGTGGCAGGCGCCTGCAGTCCCAGCTACTCAGGAGGCTGAGGCAGGAGAATTGCTTGAATCCAGGAGACAGAGGTTGCAGTGAGCCGAGATCAAGCCACTGCACTCCAGCCTGGGTGACAGAGCGAGACTTCATCTCAAAAAAAAAAAAACTTAAATATTGGAATGAATGAAAGAATCTGTAACCAAGCCTGGCTGCCACTTGGTGTTAAATAAATATCCAAGTAAGGAAGGTTTTGAGTGAAGGAATGAGAGTCTCTGCAAGTTGCTGAAGGTCACCGGGGGCAGAAGGGACCTTGGACGGATCTGGGGACTGGCCGGTGCTTCCCGCTCCCTACAGTGATGCTGCTTCTTACACACCTTTTCTTCACACAGTATTTAACCCCCAGCCCCATGAAAGATGTGCTTGGTTCCCCCAGGATGTGGGTGGGCTTGGGGAGATCCGGGAACCTGTTTTCTGCTATTGGGCTGAGTTTGGGGAGAGAGGTGGTCTGGGAGGGCCTGACATGTATCCATCCATAACCTCAGATATCTGATCATTGGTCATTTCATCCTGGGGCTTCCTGAGGCCCAGCAGAGGACTGACAGGTGACACAAAGAGGTGTCACAGCCCTGGGTGGACCGCCTCTATTCGAAGCACCATGCACCAGTCAGCAGCTTCCAGGAAGGCTATGCTGAGCTGAGCTTTTGATACCCTTGGCCAGAGGAAAGCCAGAAACTCCAGTGGCCCTCCTGCCAGTGGGGCCTAGTGGAGCGTTTATACCTGGCTCTGCCACTACTCACACACTCACTTACTGAAACAGGTTATATGATGGATGTGAAACACAGTGTACAAACAGCAAATAGATGATGTTCTCCACTATAAATCCCATATGTCCAATTGACTCTCACAAAATGCTTTACTGGCATCTGCCTAACCTTTCCATCTGTAGCCAACTTAAGTCTGCAGGTGATGGATATATGTAATTCGGACATGAATGTGGACTGATATTACCATGTTAATGAGTATTTTATGTGTGTGTGTGTGTGTGTGTGTGTGTGTGTGTGTGTGTATTTTTTTTTGAGATGGAGTCTCACTGTGTCACCCAGGCTGGAGTACAGTGGCATAATCTTGGCTCACTGTAACCTCCGCCTCCCAGGTTCAAGCAATTCTCCTGCCTCAAACTCCCAAGTAGCTGGGATTACAGGCAAGCACTACTATGCCTGGTTAATTTTTGTATTTTTAGTAGAGACAGGGTTTCACCATGTTGGCCAGGCTGGTCTTGAACTCCTGACCTCAGGTGATTCACCTATCTTGGCTTCCAAATTGCTGGGATTATAGGCATGAGCCACTGCACCCGGCCATGAGTATTTCATATTAAGAGAACTTCATTGATCAGTGTAACACGAGTAATTTCTTTGCTGTATCCTAGAACAGTTTTCAAACGCTGGAAGGATATTGACTCAGTTTTCTTTTGTGCTGTTCACAATGTCATGCCTGCAGACACACGTTTTGAAGTTTAATGTACATTACTTTTTTCCTATTAGTTCCTTAAGTCTAGACTACAAAACAATGAATCAAGCCATGATTTGTAGCATGTGCCAATTTCTGTGGTGTAAATATACCTATCGTGGCTGATCTCAAGCTGCTGATGTGACATCCTTGAACGTGGAATTGGGAAGAAGATACACTGTAGCCACCATCTTTAGGGTGTTTCTACCATGTGGATACAATAGACATAAGAGCATAGATAATCATAAAACAGAAAAATAACTAGGAAGTAATGAATTTCAAGTATTTCTTACATCTGTTGAACATAATTTATTGAATTCTAAGCTTATGTAATTCAACTTTACAAAATGGCCTGTATTGAACAAGCTGCTCCCACATTTCTGTAATCCAGGAGTTGGCTCTTATGGACCGGTACAGGTCAGCTGGAGTGCTGGTTCAGGTGGGGGGCAGGAGGCCCCCTTCCCCTGGGCTCCCCGGCCAGTCCCCACATGCAGCCCCAGTGGCCTGTACAGCTCCACCCCCTTTCATGGGTGTTCTTTTTCTTAGATGCCAAAAGCAGAAACTCCCCGAGATCGAACCTGAAATTCCGCTTTGACAAGCTCAGCCATGCCAGCTCCGGTGCGGTAAGGATGCTGTGAATGCCTCCCACACCCCACATAGAAGGCAGCTGCCCTTCTGCAGGCCAGAGGAGGAGGGTTCAGACACGTCAGAGGGGCTCCCCATAGCGGGCAGGGGAAGTTCTGGGGAGGTCTGGCCCCAGCAGGCACAGGCGGTGACTCCCGGCCACCTTTGCCACAACTGCTGAATTAGAGCTTCACCTCTAGACACGGCCAGGCCCACATATGAGGTGTGAAATGCTGGTCCCTTCCTGAGCTCACCAGACTGTCAGGAGCTGAGTGCAGAGTCGCTGCCGTGGAAGGGGACTGTGTTGTCTGGTTACTGAAACTCCTGTATGGGTTTTTGTTGAAACAGGGTCACTAATGTGAAGCAGGACTCCTTTACCTGTCCAAGGTGGGTTGAGTGAATGTTTGTCCCTCTGTGGTCATGAGTTGGGAGGTGTGTTCCTTTTAGATCAGGGTTCAAGTGGCCTGTAGCCTCAGAATGGCCAGACAGATGCTGCCAGCTGGGGAGGTCCAAAACACCACCTCACCCCTGAAGACCTGTGATGCGGAAAGAGGGGCAAGTGGCCTGTGTGGAGATGGGAAGGGGGTTCCCAGTAATACTGGACCAGACGTACTAGCTAGGTCTCCCTTCCACTGATGGAGTCTGGTTTCTATAGGCAGAAGGGGAGTAGCCATGCTCGCTTCTGCCCCTGGAGGGAGGAATTCCTGGGAGTGCTCCCTGGCATCCCTGCCCTCAGGCAGCTGTCCCCTCCTTGTGTCTTTGGCAGAGGCCCTGGGCTGGGTGTGCTCTCCTCCTCTCCAGGAGATGCCCCTGGCAGTCAGTACCGTGAGGAGCCACCCCAGGAGGCCTCTGCTCCTGCCTGCTTTGAGGGGACATGTGGTTTCAGCAGAGCAGCCCTGGGTCAGCTCGCTACCATCACGGCCTGGATGCCTGCTGGGGAGGTCCCCAGAGGCCCATCTGAGCCCCAGCCCTCTCCCCACATGGGGCTCCAGGGGTAGGAGTCAGTGCTGGAGCTGAGGGTAGGGGCATGGACGAACCCTCTTTATGTTCAAACTGATTTATGAAAAGCAGAAGAAAAATGGGCATGTGGACCTTCCCTCTGCCTCCATCATGCACTTCAGATGCCACTGCCCGCCAAAGCCGTGGTGAGGCGCAGCTTCTTGTCCGCGAAAGGTGGGGCCCCCTCATATCAGGACCCTCCTGGTCCTAACGTCTCCACTGAGCTGCAGCCAAAGGCAGGCGCGTTCCCCACCCTTTCCTCCCGATGTCTGCACTGTCCCTTCCTTCCTCTACAGAATGTTGGCTCATTGTCCCCCTCTCCTTGTCTCCTCAGGGAAGCCCTGTTCTGCCTGGAGAAGGCTCCTGTTCTAGCAGTTTGGGAGTGCCGAACATGACCCCGACAGCCCCAGGCCCGCCGCCCCACCGACCACCTGCTCACAGACCAGCCATCGATCTGGGTGTCCCAGGTGGTCACAGCCCTGCCCGCGTCGCCACCGACATGCCCTCCAAGTACCTCCTGTCTCTGGACGAGGCCTCCTTCCTCAAGTTCCTCCTTCCTGACCTCCCAGTGTGATGTCCAGGTCCTTTGTCATCTTGTTCAGCCTGGAGAGGAAAAGAGTTGGGCAGGGAGGAGGGGGGGAGTGGAGGGAGCTCGGCAGTGACTGGGAGCTGATCCGCCTCAGAAACCACGTTTGGGGTTGGGGTAGAGCCCAGCGAGGGCCTTGGCCACAGGGCAGTGCCTTCCTGGACAGGGCGGGCTTTTCCACCAGGAACGCTCTTGGTGGTGGTGGCGTCATGCTCCCAGGAGTCAAGACTCGGAGTGTCCTTGAGGCCATCCTGATAAAAGTCAGCACTATTGCCCCTGTATCTCTGGATCTCCAAAATGTCCATCTTTGCTTCTGTGCTGAGTGTCTTTCCCATCTGCTGATGTAGGCCCGGGGCTGCCTCCCCGGCTGCCAGAGTACCGTGAGCAGGACTCCAGCCAGTTCAAGCTCAGAGACAGCTGGATGGGCCGGGGCCATGCCGCATGCTTCCCAGATGGTGGCGGGCACTTTGTGTCCTGCCCAGCTTCTCACAGGCCCCTGATTATGGCTACTGTGGGGGAAGCCCTGAGGCGGTCTCTTCCCCTTGAGCAGATATTTATTCCACAAAGGGGCGGGGGAGACCAGGAGGGAGAAGGAATTCAGGGAGAGCGAAGGAGCCGTGCTGGGAGGCTGCTGTGTTGGTTGAGAGCCAGGCCGGGGCCCAGGTCTCTGCTGGCAGGGGACGTTCCAGGAAGACCGTTTCCCCTCCCCACTTACACGAGGGGAGAGTGAGGTAGGGAAGGTTTGCAGGTTCTGATGGGGTCCATGTAGGGGGAAGGGGCCCAGTGTCCCTCAGCCGCATATGCCCCTGGAGTCTTGGGGGGCCCAGCATGGCCTTGGGGCCTTTCCAGCTACTGTGACCTTCAGCTACTATGTCTGGGGCTCAACCCGCAATCCTATTCCCCTCTCTGGCTGGGGTCTGAGGCAGCTGTCACATCTGAAAGATTCCTGCAACCTGTGCCCCATCTGGATGTGGTTCAGACCCCATGACCCACATGCTCAGCAGAGCTCCCTTGCTGGGGCAGCCAGCTCACCCCCAGGACATCTCCCCGGCTTCTTCCTTCCGAGCGTGCAGGCCCTGGACTTCTCTGCTAGTGGGCCTGGGTTGGGGTTAAGGTGGGCATCCTCCAGGTAAAGCAAGCCTGAAGAGCAGCTTTCAGTGCAGACGGGCTGTGGAGGGACGCTGGCTGGCCCTTGCTGCCTGCTGCCTCCTGGGAGGGCTTTGTCCCTGTCTCTGAGCTGGTAGGCAGGATGGCTGGGTGGCCCCAGAGAAGCACAGACCTGAGATGGAGCCTCTACCTCTGGTTTGCTTTTGGAGTGCTCTGAGCAGGACCCCAAAGGCCCCCTCTGGTCCTGTGTCACTGTCTCTAGAAGCTCCATCCTGTGGCTCCATCCCAGGCTGCCAGTGCTCAGAGGGAGGAGGAGAACGGGGATTGGCCCAGTCTCCCCTCCCTCCTCTGGCCCATGGGACAGGCAGCTTGGGTTCCTGGGGGTCTGCTTCCTCCATGCTCCCCTACATCTGCTCTGATCAAAAATGTCTTTTATGCTACGCCCAGTCGTGGGGCTTGGAGATTTGCTCAGACCTCACTGGCCCTTGCGACGAGGCTCATTTAGATGGTGCTCAGGATGGTATTTGAGGGATTTCCACTGTGATGTCCACGAGTGGGTGTTGTCCAGGACATGTCTCTGGCTCTGGGAACTGCCTGACCCACTGAATAAACTGCTTTCCAGGCACTGCGGGCCCAACCATATGCCTCCAGCTCAGTTGATGCTTAAAACAGGTGCAGAAAAGCTAGAGATAGAAGGTCTTAATGGGAGTTTCTGTCTGTGCCAGTGAATGTAAAGGTGTTTCTTGAAAAATAGTCAGTGGTTCAGCTTTGTCAGCATTATCTCAACACCCAAGCCTCTGGCTTCTTTTAGTACCTCAGCCAGCAATGTCACTGTCCAGATGAGAAATCTTAGCCCAAGTGAGGGGAATGACATGCTTGAGGTCACACAGCTGGCTGGTGGCAAAGCTGGGATTAGAACCCTCAACCCAGGATCCCTTCCTCTGCATGACCTATGTGCTTTCCCGGGGCCCTGGGTTTTGGGGAAGACAGTTAGCTAGTGGTTTGGCCCTGGCGTGCAGCTGATCAGTCAAGGATGCTGGTGAGGCCTCGGTTTCTGCTTGCTTTCATCAGGAGGGATAGTCTTGGATTTTCCAGTGAGGACCCTCAGGCTTTGGATGGAAGGAAATGAGGAGGAAAGGCGATTGGGTGATGTTCCCTGGTGGGATTGGTTCTTCAGCTCCAGTGTGTAATGAGGGTGGAGGCCAGGGAGAAGATGCTGCCTACTAGCCCACAGCCTCCCTTTTCCTGAATTAGGAGGAAAAGTGGTCCAAGAAAACTCGTTATTTTTCCACAAAGTTGGTCAATAAAAACCTGGGTGAGCACCTGTCTCACTTTCCTCCCAGACCCTTGAAGGTGCCAGTGCAAACACTACCTTTCTCATTGGTTTCTAAGTCAGTAGAGACAGCTCTGTTTTGAGCAGTCAGGGGTTCGAGTAGATCTCATGGCTACAGGCAGCCAGCAGGGACCAGGCCGGCCAGCCATGCTCAAGACCCCTCGGCTCCCCTCAGTCTCCAGCTACCCGTCATCAAGGCAAGGGAAGGCCAGTAAAGTTTGCCAAGGCTGATCCTGCAGCCTGGCGGGGCTGGCTGGGGTATTTTTTTACCAAGCTCTGTTTTACCACCAGCCCCTGTCCACCCTGATCCCATGTCTCCCTCCCTTCAGCTGAGCTATGTGCTCCTTTGGAAGACCAGCCCCACCAGGGCCAAGGGAAGCAGAGCCCTGCTGAGTGGGGCCGTGGCTCTGTCCTGCACCTTACTGGCTCTGGAGAGGGGGGCATTTGTCTGGAAGACTGGAATTGAATTGCCATAGTCTTTGATTTTGTGACGTTTTTGCTTGGACTCGTAAATCACCCTTCCTGCCCCTTAGCATGTGTGCGGCTCCTCCTTGTCATGAGTGCTCCCCTTGGACGGTGCAGCTCGGGGCACACTGACATATGAGCGTGCAGATTCCCCTGTGTGAAGAACCTTAGGTAGAACCTCAGGACGGTGGCTTGGAAGAGATGCTTCACGGGATGATGACTTTCCTTTCTTTCCTCTTAGTGAGTGGGTGATTCTAGGCCCCAACTGCCTATGTCATGTAAATAATGTACATTTAATTTATTGCTATGGTAGCACATTGTATTTGTTAATGTACAAAAAAAATTCTAAAAGGTTGACAGATGTATATTTTGTTGCTTAAATGTGTCTTTGCAGAAATTGACAATAAATAACATATTTTGTGTCCATCAGTGTTCAAACTTCTTTGCATGGGGTTCTGGGCCCGGGCAGCACTTTTCAGTTCACTGAAAGTTGCGTATTCTCTGGCCTATTGATGTGTTACTTTGGCCTGGAATGTGTTTTTGAACATTTAAGTTGTTGATGTTTAAAATATTGACAGTTACAAAAGTGGCTGGGCATGGTGGCTCCCACCCTTAATCCTAACAGTTTGGGAGGCTGAGGCAGGAGGATCTCTTGAGCCTAAGGGTTTGAGACCAGCCTGGGCAACATAGTGAGGCTAAATGTGTACTCCTCCTTCCCCCACAAAAACAAAAAAATCCTAAAAAATTAGCTGGGCAAGTGGCATGCACTTGTGTTCCCAGCTACTCAGGAGGCTGAGACTGGAGGATCGCTTGAGCCTGGGAAGTCAAGGCTGCGGTGATCCGTGATTGCACCAGTGCGCTCCAGCCTGGGTGACAGAGTGAGACTGTTTCAAAACAACAGCAGTAACCAAAAGGTCGGGTGCCGGGGTCCCACCTGTCATCCCAGCACTGTGGGAGGCTGAGGTGGGTGGATCACTTGAGGTCAGGCTTTCAAGACCAGCCTGGCCAACACGGTGAAGCACTGTCTCTACTAATACCACAAAATTTAGCTGGGTGTGCTGGTGGTTTCCTGTAATCCCCACTGCTCTGAAGGCTGAGGCAGGAGAATCTTTTGAACTCTGGAGGTGGGGGTTGCAGTGAGCCGAGATCACGCCACTGCATTCCAGCCTGGGCGACACAGAGCTGGGGTCTCAAAAATCAAACAAACCCTAGAAATTTTACATAAACCTTGAATTCTGCTGCTTTTACGAAATCAGAAGCTGAATCTCCTCCTCAGGCAGGAGTTGCTCAGAGTTCACCGGCATCTTTCCCGGTGGTGTGGGCCCTTGTGTGTCCCTGTCTCCACAGTTCCCTGTTCATACTGGAACATTTCACTCATTCCTGTTGCCTGTTGCCCTCTGGCATGGCTGAGTTTGCGAGCCCTGCTCTTCACTGATTGTCTCCATCCTGCAACGCTCTCCCTCTGCTCACTTCTCAGATTCCCAGTTCGCTCCTTCCAGCTTTCTTTCGCGACTGCATGCTCTCTCTTCCTGTCCTCCTCTGACTCCTGAATTGCCAGTTTCGTATACATCAAAAGAAATGTTTAGTAATTTCAACTTTGCACTTCTAGTATTTTGGAGCTAGTAATACATTTTTTTTCTTTCAGGATCGAAGCGTGTTATTAATCCTTGGAAAGTTTGTAGGCCTAAGGCACAGGTGCCTGTAGTGGCTGGTGCATAAAACTGTTTCTCCCAACCGTCTCAATGCGCACACACTCCAGGTTTTCATGAAATCGCTGGGTTCTGACTCAGGCAAAACAGGCCAGTGGCTACTTGGTTCCTGTTGAATACACACACCCAGATAAAAGCTGAAGCCACACACGTCAGAATGGGAATAGTGAGGGCTCCAGCTGAACAGTCAAAGTGAATGTAGAATTTGCTGTATGAGCCAGCCCGGGTCTGCTGCTGGACCGATACGGTGGTCTAGTCACAAGGACTTGCATCAGGAGGCAGGGGGCAGTTGGCGGTGCCACGTTGGCAACCTGGCAAAAGCGGCTCCAGCAGCATCGCTTGCTCTATTAGGGTCACTGTTGTGTTACTCTGAACTGTGAACCACAAAGTTAACATGGAGCCTTGTTGCGTCTAGGTAATTTGACCTCGTGCATTCTGTGATCTCACATGGAGACACAGGCTCAAGCCGCTGGGCCAGAAAATCTGTGGAGGAAAGATGAACATCTGAAAGGATACACTTCCCCACTGTTGCCAGTGGCTACTGTGATGTCATAGTGGACGTGAGAAGTGGAAGGGTGCAGACAAATTTTATTAACTGATGGATTGAGACAAAGTCTCCCTCTGTTGCCTAGGCCAGAGTGGCACAATCTCTGTTCACTGCAATCTCTGCTTCCTGGGTTCAAGCGATTCATCTGGTTCAGCCTCCCAAGTTGCTGGGATTACAGGCACTCGCCACCACTCCCGGCCAGTTTTTGTATTTTTAGTAGAGACGGTGTTTCACCATGTTGGCTAGGCTGGTGTTGAACTCTTGACCTCAGGTGATCCACTCACCTTGGCCTCCCAAAGTCCTAGCATTACAGGTGTGAGCCGACATCCCCAGCCTTTTAAAAATTATTATTATTTTACTGTTGACGGTATGCTTTTTAAAAACAAATACACAAGCAAAAATAAAAAAGAAAATGAAAATAAAAAACTTAAATAAAAACTAATATGCCAAATGTGGTGACGTATGCCAGTAATCCCAGTACTTTGGGAGGCCGAGATGGGCAGATCACAAGGTCAAGAGATCAAGACCATCCTGGCCAACATGGTGAAATCCTGTCTCTACTAAAAATACAAAAATTAGCTGGGCCTGGTGATGCCAGTTACTTGGGAGGCTGAGGCAGGAGAATCACTTGAACCTGGGAGGTAGAGATTGCAGTGAGCCAAGATCACACCACTGTACTCCAGCCTGGGCAACAGAGTGAGACTCCATCTCAAAACAAAACAAAAAACAACAAGGTGAGCATCTTACCTTTTCTTTAGCAGAGTATGCCATTCCCAGTTTCTGTCCTGAGACTTTCAGAGGCCACAACAACCATGTTTCTTTCCATCTTCCCTCAGCCAGTACATAGTCATTTAAAATTCTTTGGTTCTGCAGATTTTTTAATGTGTAAATTTTACATGAAAAGACATCTGCAACATGCAAGCCCCAGTAGAGTGGGGGAGTTTTTCAAGGTGAGAAGTCGCTGTTCTCTGCGTCAAACATGGATTGAATTTTTCCTGAGTGTAGCCCGTGGCCCCCGCCTTGTGGGGGTAACATTCTCAGGAACTTCTCTTGTCCTAGTCCCTTCTCATTTCAAAAACAATATTAGTCTTTTGTTTCCCTTTTTCATTCAGTTGTTGTTTTATAACTTTTGTAGAGACCGACCCAAGTAGATGCTATGGGTGTTAGACAAAAACACACATCCCCAGGGGCAAGCCATCCAGTGGTGAGGAATCTCTCCCATGTTCTCTTCCCTGCTGCCCACAGAGACTCCCTTAGTCTCCCCCTCCTCTTCCCCACTGAGGGGCAGCTTGTGGAGATGGAGGACTCATGCCCCTCCATGCAGAACCCCTGCCAAGTTCAGTAATAGTTATCACCCTTCCAAAGCTCGAGTGACATTTTGAGATGACCTACCAGACATGCAGTGAAGGATATCACCTCACAGCCATTTTAGAAGCATTTCGAATAGCTACCAATGCCACTGGGCGTTTCACTCCTCTAACCCAAGTTAGAGTTTTGCTAAATCTGTAGCATCCTGAGTAGCATACAAATTTTAACTACATTAGTTGAATGCAGTTGATACATCTGTGGCCTCGTGTCTATTAAAGAGCACACTAGATTGTACCCAGCATTGTTAGGATATGACATGCTTATTAGATGTCTTTATTCACAGGAGAGTGTATGATAAACGACTATTTCTAATAAATATATTTTGTTTCTGTCTGATGATTTTTTTCCCTTGGTGACATTTATCATTAATATTTTCTCAAAGTGCCATGCTTACACTGAGTCTGTTTTCAAACCAGCATCTTCATCCATGTATTCCTTGTTGGGTCACAGTCTTCACTGAAGCTGCTCTTGCGGGTTGTGCTGGAATTTTCCACAGAGCACTGGGCTCCTGGCTCCTCCGCTTCCCGTTTCCAGCTTTATTGCTGAGGCCACAGGCTCATGAAGGTTGCCTTTCAAGGCCTACCCAGGATGCTGCTGAGCTGTGCAGATGTGCACACAATATGTGCAATGTCATGTGTGACTAAATGCCAACTGAGACCCTGGAAACCACTCATGGGGGAATCATGCCAAGATTGAGGAGGCAAGGTGAAGATAGTTTTTAAATGATTGCTTCCTTACCCCTCCCTAGTTCATGTTTTCTTATACATAATTACATTTCTTCCTTGCTATACTACAAATCCCTAATTTTAGTTGGTCAGAGATGGATTTGAGACTGAGCTCCCAACTCCACGGCTGCAACACCTGATTAAAGCCTTCTTCTTTGGCAATACTCATTTCTGTGATTGGCTTTCTGTGGGTGAGCAATGCAGGACCTAGGCTAATGCCCCGAGGCTTCAGTGACAAAATCTGTTTTTCATAATGCTTTATCTTCACTGTCCTCAAGAATTAGTATTTGAGTACTTTCTAGAGTCTCCTTTGTCACTTTTCTTTCAGAGGGAGTCTTGCCCTGTTGCCGGGGCTGAAGTGCAGTGGTGCAATCTTGGCTCACTTCGACCCCCGCCTACTGGGTTGAAGCGATTCTCCTGTCTCAGCCTCCCAAGTAGCTAGGATTACAGGTGCGTCATGCCCAACTATTTCCATTTTTAGTAGAGACGGGGTTTCACCTTGTTGGGCAGGCTGGCCTCGAACTCCTAACCTCAAGTGATCCCCTCGCCTTGGCCTCCCAAAGTGCTGGGATTACAGGCGTGAGCCACTGCGCCCGACCGACACTAGTGCTCGCGGGCTGCAGGGACAGGACGGACTAGAGGCCAGCGACCCCAGCAGCACCCGGCATTCTCCGACCCAACCGGGTCGCCAGCCGCACAGCCTCTGGGCAGATGTGCGCAGCGGCTGCGGCTCAGAGCTGGGAGCCGCTGCTCGGCCCCATCCCCAGGCAGCGGAATGCCCAGAACTGGTCCCCTTGCTTCGGCACCGGCCGAGTAGGAGCTGGGCGGGCAGTGGCGTCGGGCAGGCTCTTCCCGCCGGGCGGGCAGCTCGCTTTGACCCAGCCGCCTGACTCGGCTTGTGTCCTGGCAACTCCGCTGCGGTGGCGGCACAGGGGCGGGAACTGGTCCTCACGCCTGAACTGAGGAAGCCGAGGAGCAGGTGCGCCGCGGCGCTGTGAGGCGGCACTCCCCGATGACAGGCAGGCTGGACGCCGCCACCCGGAAGGACCCGCCAGCCCAGGCCGGCGCCGGAGCTGC